CATCACCCTTGGCGAAGGCTTGTCCCCTGCCGGTATGGGGAAGAGAGTGGTGGTTGGACTACCCGTCCGGTTTCTCTCATGGGAAGAGTAGGGGAGTGGAAATCCATTCGGAAGGGATGGGATGCTTTCTCGTCTCACATCAGATTCAAAGTTTGTGATGGCAGATGTGTTCATTTTTGGGAGGATCTTTGGTGTGGAGACCAGCCTTTATCTAGTACATTTCCCAGATTATATAGTATTGCAGTTGATAGACAAGCCTACGTAGCTGACTGTTATCGGCTTGACAGTAATGGGATTACGTGGGATGTGCACTTTCGGCGTTCTTTTCAGGATTGGGAGTTGGACGAGGTATGTGTTTTTCTGGATTTGCTGTATCAACAGGAGACATTTGGCAGAGGTAGTGACGATTTGACATGGATTCCCTCTTCCCATGGTCGCTTCGAAGTTCGTTCCTTATTCTTATGTCTATATAATTTTGATATCGTTGATTTTCCGTGGAAGACCATCTGGCGTTCTATTGCTCCAACTAGGGTGGCATTCTTTGCATGGATCACTGTATGGGGCAAGATCCTGACGATTGATAATTTAAAGAAAAGGGGCAACTGTTTTGTTAACTAGTGTTGCCTATGCAAAAAAGATGGTGAGTCAATTAATCATATTCTCATGCATTGTCCAGTGGCGAGCGACTGTTGGAATCTTATTTTTGCTCTGTTTGGTATGCGTTGGGCCTCGTTATACTAAGGATTTGATTCATGCTTGGAGAGGATGCCGTGTGAGAAGTGGTGTCCGTGATTACTGGAGAATTATACTACGTTGTGTTTAGTGGTGCATATGGAAGGAGAGGAATAGTAGAATGTTCGAAGGGAAAGAGTCGTCCATGGCGATGTTGAAACTTCATATCATTCGCTTTATTTTCAGTTACGTGAAGAGGAAGTCATGTTCCTCTTCCGATGATTTAATCATATTTTTGGATTCTTTGCGACCTTAGTCCCTAGTTCCACTTTTGTATAAAGGATGCATTCCCCTCTTGAACGCCTTTTTATTTAATTATGACTTATCAAAAAAAAAATTGTAAGTATTAATGAACAAATAATTGCGATAATAGACTTGAATTAGGCATTTTAAAAAGACACACTAAATTGGTTTTAAAAAGTTTTATTAATATTTTCATTTATTACCAAAAAAAAAAAAAAATTCAGTAAAGTTGAATTATGTAGACCTATTAAAGTCCATTACAACTTTAGCTTTATTATTAAAATTTTAAATTAAATAATTTATAAACTTAAAAATATGATATTAGTTAAGCTTATAATTTATTTGGACTTCATGTACAATGAATTGTAATATTGGACTTGATCAAGCCATTTTAAATAGACCCATTAAGTTGTTTTTCAAAAAATTCAATTAATATTAATGATCATTACAACTTATCAAAATATATATATATTATTGATCTTTACAAAAGTTTAGTAAAGTTCAATTATATAGGTCCATCAAAGTCTATGACAACTTTAGGGTGAAATTTATTTTTAAATTGAAATACAAAATTAGAAATAAATAAAGGTGAAGCGAATAAAATTATTCAGTATATCATCATCATTATTGTCCTTGCCTTAATCCAAAATGAATGTGGTTGACCAAATAAATTATCTTTTTCCATTTCTTTTTTATTACACGCCATCTCCACCTATTATATTGAGCTTTTTTAAATCATTTCTAATAATTTCATCCAGCATTAATTTAAGTCGTACTTTCTGTCTCTTATTTTTTATAAAAACAAACATTCCTATTCTTATTGGCACATATATGGGTCTTCGTTGTATGTCAACACCTTCTAAGTCTACTCTCTCCAATTTTCTCACCAATGGGTGTCACTCCTAATTTTTCTCACTTTTATTAGTAACATAATCTCTTCTAGTCACTCCTACCACCCAACTTAACATTCTCCAACTGAACATGTTTTTCTTGTTTCTTTTTTAAAGTACAACACTATGCACCATATAGAATAATTGGCCTAACAACAGTTCTATAGATTTTTTTTTTTTTTTTTTTTTTTTTTTTTTTTTGTTGATAAGTAACAACAGTTCTATAGAATTTTTCTTTCAACTTATTCTTATTCTTTTATCACATAAAATGTCACTAGTCCGTCTCCATTTTGCCCACCCTGATCCAATATTACTAGTTATATCAGTATCTATCTCCCCATCCTTTTATCAATCTTAAATATCAAAAGTAGTTATTTTGAATAATCCTTTGGTTTTAAATTGTGCTCATTATTTTATCAACATCCGAATCTTTATTACATTTACAATCCATATATTCTGATTTAGTTCTACCATTTTCAACCCTTTGATTCTAAATCGTTTCTACACATTTCTAATTTTATTACTAAATTTTTCTTTAGAAGTATCCAATAACAATATCATTCGCAAACAACATGCGCCATAGAATATCTCCTTGAAAGACTTCTATTATTTCATCTTTTTTTTTTTTTTTTTGGGGATAAATAAGATTTTATTAAAAAGCGCTCAAAAGGGGAGCGAAACCCAAAGAAACAAAAGGCCAGAAAAAGCCTCAAGCCTTCAAAGAGGCCAAAAAAATAACAATCTCATCAATAAAACGATAATCTCTCCCTGAAACCCAACAAAAGAGAGTGGAAATAATGGAGAACTTGAGCACAGAAATAGGCTTCTCCTTTCTCTCGAACTATCTCCAATTCCTCTCGAGCCAAATGCACCACCAAATACAAAGAAGTGTAGCCCTCCATGCATCCTGAATTAGAGCCCCCACTAAGACACCTCTCCAAACCTCAATCAACCCTAAAGAAGAAGATGGCATAACCCAAAGGACCCCAAATAAACTAATCATCAAATCCCAACAGTCTCTAACCATGCTGCAATGCAATAAAAGGTGATCAACGGTCTCCTCATTGCACAGGCACAAGAAACAACGATTGACAACCACTTGATTCCTCCTCCTTAAATTATCCTGGGTTAAGATCTTACCCAAGACAGAGGTCCAAGCAAAGAAGGCCACCTTACAGGGAGCCTTGGATCGCCAAATAGACTTCCACGGAAAAGGACCTCCATCACCAACAGAAAGGCACCTAAGAAATGACCTCACCTCGAACTTGCCCTGAGAATTAGGACTCCAAAGCCAACAATCAGAATCCCCATGAGAAATCACCTGGCGATACAGTAACTCCAAAAAACGAGTGACCTCCTCAATCTCCCAATCCTGAAAATGCCTCCTAAACTGAACATCCCAAGTTAGTCTTCCGTTATCAAGATAATAACAGTCAACCACCAAGGCCTGCCTATGAGAAGTAATCCTGTAGAGCCGTGAGAAAGAAAGAGCTAAGGGAAGCTCCCCACACCAAAGGTCCTCCCAAAATCTGATCCTCCTACCATCTCTGATCCAAAACGAACATGTTTGCTAAAGGCGTCGCACCCCTTTCGGATGCAAGTCCAAACCCCCACCCCCCTAGGACCACGCACCTCAAGGGAACTCCACCCTCCATTGCTCTCCCCAAATTTGCAAGCAATAACTCTCCTCCAGAGCCAATGCCTCTCCACCCCAAATCTCCAAAGCCATTTCCCAAGAAGGGCCCTATTGAAAGGCAACAACCTTCTAATCCCTAAACCTCCATTCCAAAAAGGACAGCACACTTGCTTCCAGCGAACCAGATGATACTTGAACTCCTCTCCCCCCCCCCCCCCCCCCCCCCAAAAAAAAAAAAAAAAAAAAAAATTACACTGCAAACTCTCAATTCTTTCAGCCACAGACGAAGGAATCTAAAATAGAGAGATGAAATAAGTTGGGAGGCAAGAAAGGGTGCTCTTAATCAAAGTGACCCGTCCCCCCTTAGAGAGGTACTGTTTCTTCCAACCCGCTAGCCTCTTCTCAAATCTATCCACCATCGGATCCCAGGTCCCCACACATCTTGAAGAGGCTCCCAGAGGTAAACCTAAGTAAGAAATGGGGAAAGATCCAGTGCAACATCCAAGGATCTGAGCAAACATCTCAATATCAGGAACATCCCCAACCGGCACTAGAACACTCTTTCCGACATTTACCTTAAGCCCAGAGACAACTTGGAACCAAACTAAAACGCATCTCAAATGTCTCAGCTAGGACGCATCAGCATCACAAAGAACTAAGGTATCATCTACGAACATCAAGTGAGAGATCTCCAATTGACTAGCAACATCCCTGCCCATTCGAAAACCTATTAGAAAGTCAAGCTCAACAGCCTTTTTCAGCAATCTGCTGAGTGCCTCCATCACAAAAATGAAAAGGAAAGGGGAAAGCGGATCCCCCTGTCTCAAGCCCCTCAAACTAGAGAAAACCGTCGGAGCTCCGTTCACAAGGATAGAGAAGCAAGCACTAGAAATACAAAAAAGAATCCATCTCCTCCACCAGCTCCTGAACCCCATCCTCTCCATCAAGTAAATGAGAAAGCTCCAACTCACATGGTCGTACGCCTTCTTAATGTCCTGCTTGCATAAAACACCCGGAACCCCACTGCTCAACCTGGAGTCCACACATTCACTGGCAATAAGAACTGAATCCAAAATCTGACGACCTCCCACAAAAGCATTCTGAGAGTCCGAGATGACGCCATCCAAAACCTTCCTTAGTGCAATCCTACTCTTTTATAGAAAACTCACTAGTCTCACCACATACAGAACGAATTCTAATTCAAGTCTTCATATACATATCCTAGATAATCTTTATTATTTATATCGGGGTTTGTTTTCTTTGTAAAGCCCGCCAAATTATATTTTTGGGACCCTATCATACACTTTTTACAAGTCTACAAAAACCATATGTAGATCTTGGTTCATACTCCTACTTCAACTAACTGTCTTATTAAGTAAATAACTTCCACTGTTGATCTCTCTAGCATAAATTTCTATTTCAAGGAGTGTAGGGTAGAGGTGGATCAACTACTACAAAATTTTGTTTTTAGGCAATAGAATTAAAAATAAAAATAAAACCTGTGTTGGTTTTGGTGACTCAGATGGGGCATATCCACGCCTTAACTTGATGCCATTCTTTCCCAAATTAATGATGCTAGAAAAACCAGAGGCATCAACATTCAGCCAAGCCTCCCATGTATCATCTTCTCCAGTAAAAAGTGCATGCAGTCCCTACAATCAGAAAGCAAAGATATATGCGTACAATAGAATTTCATATTCAAGAGAATGAAATTCGCCCTTATAGCAAAAAATGCCATACCAGGGTAGAGCCTTGCAGATCAACTCTAGCAGCAAAAAGTCCTGACGGTTGAAACGTTCTCCGATGCCAAACCTGCAGGCAATAAATCCAATTCATCCATTATTCTCTTTTTATTTATCAATCAAGGATGAAAATTCTCGGGTTTAACTTCCAAATATAAGAAAGCAAATCATTAGCCAAAAAATGATACGACAGTGAATTTTTAGAATCAGAAACACATCCAGTGGACCAAAAAAAAAACAGTAACAGGCTCCAGTATTTCTGTCAAACAGGTTTTTTGATGCTCATACATAAGGTCAAGAAACACTAACAAACTAAGGAAGCAATAGTCATCTACTTAATCAAAAAAATCTTTGTGATGTTACACACCTGAGTGCGATATGCATACTCCAATTGTTCAGCAACATCTTCACGGAGCGGAAGCCAATTGAGTCCTCCTTTACGAGCAAACCAGTGACCCCTCAAAACACGCCGATTTTCCCCGTCCCAGTAAACAGGAAAACAATGTCTCTTAACTAAATCTACCTGTGGAAATATGTCATTGTAACTTTCAGAAAATTGTAGAAAGTGAAAAAAGATAAAACTATTAAGAATACTAAATTTCCTACCAAATAATCATCTAGAAATGGGATTTTTGTGTGGAATGCATAATGACAAAATTGTCAATGAAGATATTTACAAAAGCCATGTTCCTTTCTGAATTATTTTTCACTTATGAAGATAAAGATTGCGGTACCAGTCAATGGAAAAATCTTGTACTAGTGCAACTTCAGGAACACCCTATTTCTTTAAGCCTTTCAAAAATGATTAATTTTTCAAAGATTCCAAATTCTGGAACACATTAAAAAAACAAAAAACAAAAACAAAATCAGAAACACCAAAACAAAAAAAATTTGGGATTTTTGAAGACTTCCGACCTTTTTTTTTTTTTACTTTTGACATCTCACATGAACAAATAAGAAAGAGTAGACTGAGGTGGTATGCGCATATTCAGCGCCGACATATAGATGCACCTGTGAGGAAAGGAAGATGGACTTGTAAAGATGGCAAGAGACAAAGAGGGCGACCAAAACTCCCAGGGAATGAAGTGATAAGAAATGATTTTAAGAAATTGAATCTAGTAGGAGATATGGCTCTCATAGAAAAGAATGGAGAAAGAGAATCCCTGTGGCCAACCCCGTTTGTACAGGATAAAGGCAAGGATGATGATGATGACGACACAAACAAATAAAGAAACAAATTTAGAATGTTTAACAACATTTAGCTAATTATCCAATAAAATCTAAGTGGGCGTGATCCAACTTTCAACTTCAATCAGCTTACTTCATCTATAATTAAAAAGAACAATGCATAAAGGCAAACCAAAGCAATTCGAAAGGAATTTAATCAAAATATTCAATACAATTATAGAAATTCCTCTCAAAGCCAATCATAATCATGATTAATCTTCCAAACATAGTGTCTCAACAATAAATAAATTTGAGCTTATAATTTAATTTTCACATAGAGCAATAAAACTCAAAATCATGTTTCAATTTGTGCAGGATTGACAACTTTCTGTTTGATTTTTGCTATGCACATTCTTCCTACAATCATTGACTTGACAATTTTTAAGATCTTATCAAAAAATCAAATTAATATCCATTGGTGTTGGTCTTTACTTAAATGTAGGTTTTTTTTTAATGATATTTTACTCAATAGAGGTAAATAAACCAAATTAACATCAAATTCTCAATTATGATTTTGAAAACACAAATACTAATCAGTTTTATGTCCAAATCAATCATACCTGTCCTATTGCCAACCCTAACTATAGGCCAGGTCCCTTCAGTCAGGCTCGTGTAAAGCCTTAGGCTCGCACCTCCTGTTTTTAATCATTAATTCATTTTGTTTTCTCTGTATTTCTAAATGAACAAGAATTTACTAACTCTACATCAAATCAAGGCCATAGTCAATGGATCACATTGCTTGTGGTGGGCCTTATCAAGAGAAAGAAATAGAAGACCATTCGAAGGATTTCAATTTGGGCCCTGAAATTCTCTATCATTAGTTCTTCGTTTTTTTGGATTCACGAATGGACTTGTAACGTTATAGATGATATGTGGATATTGTGGATAGGATGAGTGTATAACAGACCATTTCGATCTTTTGACTTCTTATATATGGAATACGCTCTCCTTTTGACCACGCTTCAATGAATTATACTTATCAAAAGAATTCTTATGTATGATTACGGAATTTATGAGCTTAAGGAACATGATTATTAATTTTTATTGTGGTATTTGATTTAGTTAATGCATATACATATAGAAAGGTAAATGCACATTTTTCTATACTTATATTTAATATTCATTTCTATTACACATGCGCCTACTTCAATCAGGCGTGCACTTTACTGCACCCTGAGTCTTTAATAACTATGGCTTCAATAAACTTAAATCACGATCAAGTTTCAACCTTTGAACTCAGCTTGGACATGACTTAGAAGTAAAAACTAAATTTCAACATGACGAGGTTTTGACCCACTTTTGAATTTGTCAACACTTGACACCAAGTCTTGACAACTTTTACGCTTGTTTTTGCGCATCACTGGTACATAGGCCAACGTTAGAAATATTAACTAATCTTTATGAGGACCTTCAAAATGATTCGGAAAAGGCCCACTTCTGAATTTTATTAGGTTTGAAATTTCCTTTGGTATCCTGAGATCTCTTTCAGCCTGTTAGTTTTAAGCTTTCATGAAAGTTAAATACGCCCAATTCTGTTAGAATTGTCTTTCTTTTTTTCCCCAAAATAAGTAGCCTTTTCATTGCGTGTTATCCTTTGAAGAACATAGAGCTTCTAACCTTAACATGCAAAACATTTTGCATTACCATTCGTTGTCCTTTCCAAGGGGGAAAAAAAAAAAAAACTAACGATCGGCGTAGTAATTGCCAAAAATAGTTCAGTATCTTTTAATTTAAATACAACATCCATCATGATGCATTTTATTGGTGAAATACAACACAGGAATATTTCAAAATTAGTGACATTTCTATAGGAGAAAAAATTGAAACCTCTCTCTTTCTTTCGTTCTTTTTTTTTTTTTTGTCCCCGTCAAGAGTTGATGCACTATATTTTAAAGGTGCATTTGGACTAAAGGGAAAAAATTCAATACTTTCTTTTGGTGCCTCTGGGCACTAATTATTAATGTCCTTTAAAGTATATGAAAATTATTTATTTTACCTCTCTGTTAATGCAAAATTTTTAAGGCGCATGAGGAGGATACCATCACCTTGAACTTGTTAAGATATAACGAATTTGTCATACAAAATCAGGTTTACAAGATCTTGTAACAAATGAGATGAGAGTGAACATCCACCATTATTGGTTAAATCTACATCATTGAATTGTTCTAACAGCATTTTTTAGCTCATTACTTTTTCAGAAAACGTGGTTAAACCTCATAAATTTTATCATATTATAGATTTATGGCATTTCATTAATTAGTTCAAGTAAGATGGAATGCATATTTCTGGTATATATATTGCATCCAAACCCCCATTCTTTTATGTTGACCAAAAGTAATGAATATTTGACACCAAAGTTTTCATGTCAATGAATTTTACTCCTTTGTAATTCATTTCTCATTTATTTATTCTCTTTTGCACATAGTTTAGTAATTCAAAATATTTCACACATTGAAGTGTATCTTTGGATCCTTGACAGACAGCATGACACAAAACATAATGCAAAAAATAAAAATCAATAAGAATAAACCACAATTTGGCAATTACAATTACATGTAATTAACGAAGTACTACCTCTGAAGAAAATTATTGGAAGTAGAACCTTAATAAAATATACGGAAAGAAGGGATACCTCATACAGCCCTCCCTTTACAGGGACACCAACTCTCTCTTCTTCAATTGCATTAAGTTCAGTTGTGCAAACTCTCTCTACAGAAGACGCCATTGGTTGTGGATCCAACTTAGTGCCTGATAAAGGATGCCCTTTTGGACCTTCACTGCATTCTGCATATTCTTTCCACCAACTTGAAAGCAACTCTTCTTCTCTCTGTAGATGCACATTAAGTAAAATAATCTCTCACATGCTGATAAATATATATTCATGACGGAACCTATTTGAACTAAAGCATTTTTTTTTTTTTTTGATAAGTAAGAAATGTATAAAAAGCGCTCAAAAGGAGAGCGCACCCCAAAAGAAAAACAAAAAGAGCCTCTAAGCCTTCAAAGAGGCCAAAAAATCGACGATATCCTCAACAGATCAATAATCTCTTCCTAAAACCCAACAAAAAAGAGTGGAAACAATAGAGAACTTGAGAAAAGAAATAGGCAACTCCTTTTCATCAAAATATATCCTATTCCTCTCAAGCCAAATGCACCACCACACACAAAGAGGCGTAGCCCTCCAAGCATCCTGAATATGAGCCCCCACAGGACAACCTCTCTAAGCCTCAATCAACCCTCTAGAAGATCCAGGTATGACCCAAAGAATCCCAAACAGACCAAGCATCAAATCCCAACAATCCTCGGCCATAAAACAATGTAAAAGAAGATGATCCACTGTCTCCTCATCCCGAAGACACATGTAACACCGATTGACCACCACCTGATTCCTCCTTCTCAAATTATCCTGAGTTAAAATCTTTCCCAAAATAGTGGTCCAAGAAAAAAAGGCCACCTTGAGGGGAGCCTTAAAACGCAAAACAGCCTTCCATAGGAAAGGACCTTCAGGCTCTTCTGTAAGACACCTGAAGAAGGACCGAACATCAAAATGACCATGAGCATTGGGAGCCCAGATCCAAAAGACGAATGGCATCCTCAACTTCCCAGTCCTGAAAAAGACTCCTAATCAAACATCCCAAACCAGTCTCCCACTATCAAGATGATAACAGTTGACCACCGTGGCCTGCCTATCCATAGCAACCTGAGCAACCGTGGGAAAGCGAGAGCAAGAGGAAGGTCCCCACACCAAACATCCTCCCAAAAACTAATCCTCCTGCCATCCCTGAGACTAAACCGAACATGATTGAAGAAATCAGCCCAACCCTTCCGAATAAACTTTCAAACCCCCACACCCCTAGGACCACACACCTTAAGAGAACCCCACCCTCCTCTACTCTCCCCATATCTGCTCACAACAACCCTCCTCCAAAGCCAATGCCTCTCCACCCCAAACCTCCACAGCCATTTCCCAAGCAGAGCTTTATTGAAAGGCACCAATCTTCTAAGCCCCAACCCTCCATTCCGAATCGACCTGCACACTTGCTCCCAACGAACCAGGTGAAACTTAAACTCCTCCCCTTTTCACACCCCCCCCCCCCCCCCAAAAACCCCCGGCCCCGCGGGGAAAGGTACTACTTCTTCCACCCCGCCAGCCTCTCTTAAACCAATTCACAAGTGGATCCCAAACCCCCACACACCTCAAGGGAGCTCCCATGGGCAACCCTAAATAAGAAATGGGAAAGGAACCAATATGGCAACCAAGAATGCTGGCAAACATTGCGATGTTAGGGACCTCCCCAACCGGAACCAAAACGCTCTTTCCAACATTCACCTTAAGGCTGGAAACAACTTAGAAACAGATCAAAACGCATCGCAGATCTCTGAGCTGGGACACATCCGCATCATAAAACACTAAAGTATCATCCGCAAACATCAAGTGGGAGATCTCCAAATGACTAGCGGCATCCCTGCCTACCCGAAAACCCCTTAAAAAAACCCAACTCCACAGCCCTCCTCATCAACCTACTGAGGGCCTCCATCACAAAGAGGAACAAAAAAGAGGAAAGCAGATCCCCCTGCCTCAAGCCTCTCGAGCTAGTGAAAAAACCCAACGGAGCTCCATTCGCTAGAACGGAGAAACGAGCACTAGAAATACAAAAATGAATCAATTTCCTCCATCACACTCCAAACCCCATCCTCTCCATCAGATAAAGAAGAAAGCTCCAACTCACATGGTCATACGTTTTCTCGATGTCCAACTTGCACAAAACGCCCGCAACCCCACTACACAATCTGGAGTCCACACACTCGCTAGCAATAAGAACTGAATCCAGAATTTGACGGCCTCCCACAGTGGCATTCTGAGAGTCAGAAATAACTTCATCCAACACTTTCCTCAACCTATAAGCAAGGACTTTGGCAATCAACTTATAAATGCACCCCACCAAGCTAATAAGGCGAATGAGAGCAATGAAAGTGGCATTCAAGCTCTTCACAAAAGAGCCCTGAGCGTAGAAAGCATGAAAAGTGCCCATCACTTCCCCTTTAACCACCTCCCAACACTCCAAAAGGAATCTCATAGTAAACCCATTAGGACCTAGGGCTTTATCCCCATTACAACTCTTCAAAGCTACCAACACTTCCTCTTCAGAAAAAGGCTCCTCCAAACCAAAGCACTCCTCACTAGAGATAGAATCAAACTGAAGCCCCTTAAGCAATGGTCTCCACCCAACAAACTCTGTGAACAGCTTCGCATAAAACTCAACAATACCATTGCAAACCTCATCCTCCTTGCACAATAACTCCCCTTCCACCCGGATCCTCCCAATATGATTGCCCCTTCTATGGGCGTTGGCCAATCTATGGAAAAACTTCGTGTTCTTGTCACCCTCCTTAAGCCACAAAGCTCGAGACTTTTGTCTCCACGAGATCTCCTCAATGATAGCAAACTCCGCCTGAAACTCCACCTCCTAACCTTCAAAGAGTCCGTCAGGAGCCCCTAACCCTCCATCCGGTCAATATCAGCAATCTCAGAAGAAAAAAAACCCCATTCTTTCTCCAAACAAGATTCCCGAAGACCTCTGTGTTCCAACTCTTGATATTCTCCTTAAGAAGACGCAAGTTACCTGCGAGCATACGACTTAGGGCACTAACCACCCCAAACCCTTCCCACCATAATCAGACCCTGTCCAGAAAGCCCTCAACACAAAGCCACATATTCTCAAATCTAAAGGGAGATCGCCTTCTATGCAACCCACCACAATCCAACATCAACGGAACTTGGTCTGAGATAGGGCGAGCCAAAGTAGCCTGAACAACATCAAAGAACTTCTCCTCCCAATCTCCCGACACAAGGAATCTATCAAGCCAAGAGAGGGTAGGAGGAGAACGACCACTAGACCAAGTAAAAGGCCTCCCTCCAAAGGCAAATCAACCAGCCTAGAGTCATCAATAAACACTGAGAAGGACTCCATGTCAGACGTCCACCTACCCCCCGTCGATCTCTCAAATAGAGAGCGAACAACATTTAAATCCCTTCCAATACACCACGGCAGCAACTATCGCCTTCCACTATCCCCCAGCTCCTCCCATAGCAATTGTCTCGACAAATCCTCCGTAGGCCCATAAACTCCAGAAAAGACCCAATGAAAACCATCCTCCACCAAAGAGAGCACACATAAAACAAAGAATCTCCCAATCCGAGAGTTCACCAAAGACACCCATCTGCTGTCCCGCATAACAAGAATACCACCCGAAGAGCCAGTAGCATCCAAAGCACACCACTCCACAAATCTCCCACCCCAAAGGCTTCGCACAATCAAATCCGTCATCGAAGCGATATTGGTTTCTTGCAAACACACCACATGACCTCCCCCTTTATGAATAATCGACTTCACCACTTTTCTCCTCACCGGGTCATTTAGACCCCGGACATTCCATGACATAATTTGTAGCTTCATAGGGAAACAGTAGCAATATCAGCCCTTCTCCTCCTCCCACTGTCCCTCTCCCTGGACCCCCTATTCCGTCTTTCATATGTAACAAAATCCGCAGATCTCCGCACCTCCCTCTCACCCGCCCCCATCCTGAAACCCACCCTTACATCCCATCCTTTCCAAAAACTGTGAATTGAGGACATCATGGAACATACTCAACGCCTCCTCCATTCTCCCCTCAAAAGACACTCCCAAAAGAGAGCCCACCTCCCCACCTTTCTCTCTAAACCACTCCTCCTCCAAACCTTCCCTTCCTTCAACAGCAGCAGCACCTCCCGAACACTCCTCTTCCGATCGAACAACAGCCAAAGGAACACATATCTCCACAACCTGCTCAACTCCTTCCCACTGAATCAACCCCAACTCCCCATCAAGAGAAGAACACAAAACTCCCTCCCAATCCTCAAGGACACAAGTGCAGGATGAGCTACCAGCCATCGCAGTCCCAAACTCCTCATCAGATAAAAAGCCCCTTGGCTCAGTCTAAAAACCTTTCAACGCCAAGTGAACCCGCAGTTCCTTAATCAAAACAGCAGCAAAAACGTCATCCAAATTAATCTGCACATCACGCCCCACACATACAGTAACACCCTCCCGCATCTTGTCTGGAAACCGCAAGGAACCCAACTTGTTGCCTTACCTTTCCGATCATCCAAATCCTTCTCCAAAACTACCTCAAACACCAGAGACAACCTTTTGGAGAAAGAGGACAACACTCCCTTCTCCAATCCCGAACACCACTTCGACACCCCACAAGAAAGGGTAGAAGAAGAAGGATGAAGAAGAGATCATCTCAGCAGAGAGGTGGACTTACCCAGAATGGAAACGGAATGATTACTCAACACCCATTTCTGTTTCTCTTTACGTGACCATTTCCTTCGGATTGCAGGAAGAAGAACCTTCTTCTTAGTCCTCAGCCAGCGACCTTGCAAAGGGGGCACAACCCGCCGTCCATCCCTGTTCATACCAGAAGTCTGAGGTACAGGTCCATCCACTGAAGAAGAAAGAGGCCCAAACCTATTAACCACATCCAACCCAAAGCCAATAGAATCAAAACACAGCCCACCCTTCATACCGCAGCCCAGACCTGAAAGAACATCCAAAGAGCAACCATCCTTGACAACCTGGGCTGCCTCATCACTAACCGGTCCACTATGACATGGGTCAGGGCTTCTAACAACCTAAGGCCCATCACATGGCCCACGAGGAGATGGATCAGCAATACAAGGGACAATGGCCCCAATCACCAGCCCAACTATGGGCCCATCAGAACATGAGGACTGCATTGTCTTTCGAGTCCTATTATTTGAAACATTTGAAACATATGTGGATACAACTGTATCCCATTGCAAACGGCCAAGTCCTAAGCGCCATCACTAACCGGTCCATTATGACATGGGTAAGGGCTTCTAACAACCGAAGGCCCATCACATGGCCCACGAGGAGACGGATCAACAATACAAGGGACAATGGCCCCAATCACTGGCCCAACTATGGGCCCATCAGAACAATAGGACTGCATTGTCTTGCAAGTCCTATTATTTGAAACATTTGAAACAAATGTGAATACAGCTGTATCCCATTGCGAATGGCCAAGTCCTGAGCGCCAACCACATGGCTGGTCCCCAACTCTTCCCCACCCACGCGCTGGAGGCACGTGGAGGCAACCTCGGTTTCTTCTCCGATCCCCAATATGCAAATCCGGCAGACAGTCGTGACCGCTAAAGCCTCCACCTCTTTGAAAGTCCCGTCGAGCTACATGCCTACTACAATTAGACGAGGAAGAAGTACCATCTCTCTTTTTCTGAGTGAAGAGCCTTCTGAAACATTCCGTGTTACGAACCCAAAGCTTATCCCACCACGCCTTCCATTTCTGGAATTCAACCTTCCCATTCTGTCCCATGGACTCCCATCTCAGCCAATCAACCTCCTTCAGCAGATGCAAGCCATCTCCTCCTTCCAAACTGTCCGTCGTCGGAACAAGCTCAGGGTGCTTCTCCTCCCAAACAGCCACTTTATAGCAGAAGCGATCATCATGAACGAAGACAAACGGAGGGCAAACACAACCATCAAAGACTGTGATACGAACTCTTTCTGCATCCACGGATTCATCAGCATTAACCCAAATAAAGCCACCGCAAAGATCGCCGACCGTCACAAACAAAACATGGCTCCGAGGTGAAGAGGCAAACCATAGAGCGTAACTTTCTTCAGCCCCTTCTCTTTTAAAACCTTGGAGCAACCCACTCTGAAACTCCAAGAATCCACTCGGAGAGTGGCCCTGCCCAGTCCCGACGACCCTCCTTGAGCACACGAGTTGTCTCCGTCGAAGAGGGAAGACGAAATAGGATCAAAGAATCCGGCAAAGGCGAAACAACCACTTCAGCTGAGACCTTCCAAGGACGCGATGCCCAAGCAGCGATCTGAGCCCTATCACCCACTTCCTTGTCAAACTTATCCACCAAACACGATCGCAGGTCCTCTTTCCTCCTTCCAACCGAATCATTATCCAAAAAGATCGAAGGACCTCTGTACGTATTTAAAGATCTGGCACCCTGAAAATTGGATTCCCCAAACACCCCAAGAATTTGGAGCAGAGGGAGTATAACACCCCAAGAATTTGGAGCAGAAGGAGTATATAATTTTATATATATATATATATGTATGTATGTATGTATGTATGTATGTAGATACATATCCATTGCTGGGAATTATTCCCTTCACAGCATATCTAAATTCTTTTCACTGTTGAACAGCATAAGTTTAGGTTTACTTTCACCTATAATTCTTTTTGCTTGCAATAATAAATTATCTTAATATGTTCTCTCAGCTTCTGCTATTAGTGCTCTGTGCTCTCAATACCTTACATTTATATATACACTAAGTAACACAACTCAACTAAAGAAAGCCTTTTCTGCTCTACCTGGGGTCAGCTACATGAATCCTCTTTTTCCATTCCTATCTATCTAATGTCTTAGTCTCCGTCAAACACATGTTGTCAATATACATACACTAGGTAGATAAATCTAATTAAGATTCTGCAGATGTTTTATCAGTAAAATAATAATAATATCTATGCTGGGACCCTATCTAATATTCTAAGATGAGTGAGGAAAAACACAATACAAAAATTTAACCAACATTTGTCAAGTCAGATGAGAGGACCTGCAAGAATGATGCCTCTATCGCAAGCGAATCCCTCATACCAAATCGAAAATAATCACTCTTTCCTACTACTTCCATGCGAGGAACTGAGGCAGCTAGCTCTGTAGAAACACAAAGGCAATAATATGTCATCAAGGGGTAACACAGGCATATAATATCCAATGCCCATGAATTAAAAAACTTCCAGAAAACTAGAAGCATTAGGCCTGTAGCAATCCAGTAATAAGATTATTTATCAACAAATTAGCACAAATGATCTGAAGGAATGCAATACTAAATTTGAGAATTTTTGCATTGTGCTCCTCTCGTAAAATTTTCAACTATTAAGACTATCAAATTCTTAATGTAACTTCTACTTGGTTTGAATAATTATTTTTCTCTTTATGCCTCTACTATACCTTGGACATCATTTTTACCGGCCAATGTAGCTGAGCAACCGTACATTGGATATTGAAAAATTTAGCCTCTAAAAGCATTAAGCGTTTAAAATAAGAAAGGATAATTTGATTTGATATCACATCACAAAATGCATTTGCTTAAATTATATAGCTGAATTACATATCTCCAACACACAAAACCTCTTCGCTTAAGTTGCATCTCCTGTAAACCCAGACAGGGAGCTGCCAAGTCCTGATCGGAAATCCTGATTGGAACACGAGTGTGCATTTGTATTATTTACGAATACATACATATACGGATGAAGAAGCTGCAGGGTTCAAGTACTGATTGGAAATCCTGATTGGAACGAGTGTGCATTTGTATTACTTATCAATACATACATAAACTCACTCAAAATTTATAAATGATACTGCAACATGCCAACACACAGGCCACACATATTGCCACTTGAGACGCAGTTAGTACCCTGGTTTCTGATTTAAATTTTTCATAGATTTCGCTTGATTCTAACCGAGAATAACTACTATCAAAAGGAGACAATATTAATAAAAAATTAGATCCTGCCCTCACTGATATAAATCCTCTCCTCACCAGCTTTGTGGTCAATGTCATGAAAAGTTACTCATGCATCTTTAATGATGGTTTAGTACTTGAGCCGGTTAGCTAGAGGTTCCTTTCTCTACCGTCCTAAGGTTCATCGTTGGTTTGATTTCAAGATTTCTCTTCTGTGAACCTGGAGCAAAGTCGGTGAAACCTGAGCATAGCATATACTACAGTAGCTAAGAGAGGTCAATCTCAGTGTATATCAATTGCTTCAGCATTTACAGTGGAAAATACAGGGAATCAAGGAATTGGATGCACCTTCTGTCTGAGTAAACAACCAGATATAATCAGCCAAGAAGTGCCCTTCTCCGTCAATTTATTATGAATAGAAATTGTATATTCCTGATTTTTACTAAAATTCCTACCCTTGTTTGTGAACCCTCTCATGGACCCCAGACTGGTAACTCCCTCAAATCCCTTTCACCTCTGTACATGACCAGTCTACTCCATCTGCAATACCTCCAAGCCAAACTTCTCTTCAGTTATGCCCTTAGACTCGGATATTCTATAACCACTCACGAACACCACCCAAAAAATGCCAGAGTCTAATTTAATGCTAGTCTTGCTAAAATCTAATTAATGGTTTTTTGTAACTCCACAAGTGTAACAAGCATAAATATATACATATATATGTGTGTGAGATAATTAAATATATATATATATATATATATATATATTATTTGAGATCTTTTAATCTAAACATTAAACTTAAATATGAAATAGGAGAATATGGCTTATCCTATACCAACTGTTACTCCCTATTAGTTCCACCTTCAGGCCACATTTCGGAAAATTATTCTCATGTTATATCCATTCGCATATGATTCGTTATTGACAATGAGAAGGAAACTTGGTGCAGAAAAAGATAGACAGAGAAGGGACACTTGGGAAGAGAGGGTCAAAGAAAGGAAGCAAGGAAATATACGATGTTCTTACTTCAATATAAGATTTTGTGTCTGAAAATTATAAAATCTATCGATTTCAGATTTTAGTTGAATTCATCATGAATATATGAACATGTTATATGTGTATGTGTATATAAAAATATATTATCTATTCAGGAAAATATATATATATATGTATTATCTAATACATATATATATGGTTGGGGGCGCGCAGGGGGCATGCTTTCCATCCACAACCAAGTGGGACTAAAAGACATAGGTAGGGGAAGTCAAGTCATTCACATTGAAGGATAAGCAACTCAGTCTGAGATTCGAACTTCCTTTTCTTACCACGACCTGGAGAACTGAACCCGCCCAAACCTCGTTCCCCACCCCTAGAGGCAATTGAAGTTGGTGAGCCATATGATTGGCAACTATCTCAAATAACATGTTGATAATGTTCTTGATTATTGCAACTAAAATCTTATAACACAATTTAAATCCATATATTTTATAATTTTCAAACATACAAATGTATATCGAAGAAGTAAGAATCCAGTCGTCTGGTTTATTTCTTAAATGTTCTTATGAGTATTACATATGGATTGTGGTTTAGTTTCAAGCCCATATTTGAGTATGGATAAGATATATTAAGTTCAAATTTAGGACACGACAACAAGCTACCTGAATATTGTACGGTTCTCAATTCCCTCCTAGACGCATGAGATTTTCCATGCTTACTTCATCACTTGATGTCTTTTATGCAACTGTAAACAATACCAATTAGGTCTGGATATGAATAGAGTTCAAATTGCCTCAAGTCCTAAGAATCAAATTTTGAAAAACATGAACATAATAACTACATCCCCATCAATATTCCAATTTATAAAAGATAACACAGTTATACTATTTTTGGCTCAAGCAAACTTTTATAACTAAATGTAAAAAATGAAAAACAAACAAACAAACAAACAAAAAAAAAAAACAACATAAACAACAACTAAATTGAATTCGAGTCAATCAATACGAAAGCCAAACCAATGTATGTATCCCATCAAGTTTGGAATTTAGTAACCAATTCAATGCCATTATAAACTGGGTGCTTATAAGGCTCTAGGTCTAAATTAGAACAGTATGTAATCTGACGTGTTAGAGCCTAGGGTACCAATCTACCTTCAATTAGTATCAAAGCCTGTTACTAAACATAGGGAGTATTGATCCCTAATAAATAGTACTTTATTCAAATTATGGAGTCATAAAATAAATCCAGTTGATTGATGATTACGCCTTCTTTGATAATTTGATGCATGTTAATTATAAAACTAGTAGTTCTGATAGTGATGTTAAGAAAAGCATTTTGAAAAATTATTTACTTACTTTTGATGCTTCTGGAGGTGAAATAATAAGTTCCACCTGACTTTAAATCTAAACAAATCAAAGACTTCAACTTTTATTGTGGAGATTGTAACTTAAAAGACTTTTTTTTCTCTAAACTTCACAATGACTTTATTGGACTACAAAAAGAAAAAAGTTGAACTGTTAAGAAAATTGAAACTCGACAACTTTTTTTTGATAGGGAAAGAGAGTCTTAATTAGTAAAATAAGAATTTTAGAAAAAGAAGTGGGAGACTGTTATCATCTTGATAATGGGAGACTGACTTGGGATGTTCAGTTTAGGAGGCACTTTCAGGATTGGGAGATTGAAGACGTTTCTCGTTTGTTGGAGGTTTTGTATAGCCAGGTGATCACAGATGGTGACTCGGATGGTTGGCTTTGGGTTCCTAACTCTCAGGGTCGGTTCGAGGTTAGGTCTTTTTTCAGGTGTCTTACGATTGATGCTGGGGGCCCTTTCCCTTGGAAGCCTATTTGGCGTTCTAAGGCCCCCCCTCAAAGTGGCCTTCTTTGCTTGGACTTCTGTTTTGGGAAGGATTTTAACTAAGGATAATTTGAGAAGGAGGAATCAAGTGGTAGTTAAACGTTGTTACATATGCTTGAGTGAGGAGGAGACAGTTGATCATCTTCTTTTGCATTGCAGTATGGCCAGAGACTGCTGGGTTTTGATGCTTGGTTTGTTTGGGGTTCCCTGGGTTATGCCTTGTTCCACTAGAGGGTTGATCGAGGCTTGGAGAGGCTTCTCAGTGGGGGCTCTCATTCGGGATTCTTGGAGGGCTACTCCTTTTTGTATTTGGTGGTGCATTTGGCTGGAGAGAAATCGGAGATATTTCGATAGAAAGGAGAAGTCTGTCTCTATGCTTAAGTTCTCCATTATTTCCACCCTTTTTTGTTGGGTTTCAGGGAGAGATTATAGATCTTTTGAGGAGATTGTTTCTTTTTTGGCCTCTTTGAAGACTTGAGGCGTTTTTTTGGCCTTTGTGTTTTCTTGGGATTCGCTCCCCTTTTGAGCGTTTTTTATAAAAATTTTACTTATTAGAAAAAAAAAAAAAAAAAAAGAATTTTAGAAAAATAAGTGACACATTTAAAGGAACTTAGTGATTTACTAAAGACAGACTGATAGGACAAAAATTGAAATAAAGATGACAAATAACATGATGGGAACAACTAAGATTGAAAATCAACTAGGTTTAAAGGAAAATTCTGAAAATTGTATAAAAGGAAAATTGGTTGGTGAAACACCTACTAATTTGGTGAAAGTGAAAAAAGATCCGCATCAGCATGCGTCACGTGTCCTAATTATTAAGAAAAAGACATATAAAATATAATTGCTCAAAAAGAAAGAAAACTAAGAAAAATAAAAACATCAAAATCTCTCTTAGAAATATTCAAAATATTGAAAATAAAAAAAAATTCAAAAAGTCTTTATAATAAAGCAAAAATTTACAAGAAAGAAAAAGAAAAACAAGTGAAAACAAAGCAAATAAAAGATCACGGAATAAAACCTGATTAGGAAAAAAGATGAAAATTGTTTAGTGATTACACAACACTAGGTATTGGTGTTTTGATAGTTGATGTACTGTGTATAAAACTTTATTTTAGTAATTTGACAGACTATAGTGGTGGTACAATCAAATTTGGCAATGATAAACAAGCACGCATTGTATGGAATCATGGAATTAAATGATGTTTATTTACATAAATGAATTAAAAGTTAATTTGTTAAGCATAAGTCAATCATGTGATAAACAACAAAAAGTCTATTTCACACAAGACGATGTCTAGTGACAGATAAGGGTATTGCAGTACAAAGAAAAGAAAACCATTGAAAATTGTTATGGAATACATTTGGAATCCCTATTAATATGTAATAATATACAAAGTGGTTCAAGTGTTGGCATCAAAGACTTTGTCATGTGAATTATATAGATTTTATAGAACTTTTTAAAAATGACATAGTTAAAGAGTACCAAACTTATCAATGGGCCAGTGGCCCAGCGGTACCAAGCCCCTGCTTCTCAAAGAAAGGTCAAGGATTCAAACCTCAGTGGAGGCATGGGTGTGTGAGTACCAACTAATAAAAAATAAAAATAAAAATAAAAAGAGTACCAAACTTTAATACAAATTTGGTCTCTTTACTTTAATTGCATTATGTGCTTGAGTGCATCTATATCTTTGATAGGATTGTCACTGAGACTCATAATTTAAATCAATATTGAGATTCAAAAATTAGAATTCGATACCCATAAGACCTATCCATCACCTTTTAGGTCTAAATTAGAACCATACATGCTTTGACATGTTAAGATATAGGTTATGGCTCCTCCCCCTCAAATGGAAGTAAAATATATTTTATATATTTGGTTTGTCAAAAGAAGTCCAATCGTGTCTTATAAAAGGTTATCATTAAGTGCCAGTTCCACCAATTGTGCGGTGTTAGGAGAGATAGTTACAAAACTGACCTCAGGCATTACTTGAACAAAGTGGTTGTCCTAATTTGAACCTGCACTTATTCGGGAAAAAAAAAATAATACTAATTTGAACCCATTTCACTCTTGGCAAGCAGATTTTTTACCAATAGCCCCTTTTGTTACTAAACATTGATATTCCAATGCTAAAACATTAACTGCCTCATTAATTAAGTTCAATAGTTTCACTAGCATCAACACGCAAACCATTTTTTTTTCCTTCGACTTTTTCCAGCTATAAGGAGGAAAATGAATTCAAGGAACCCTAAAAAGAAAGAGAATATAAGAGAGATAGAAATACCAACCCAAATAGAGACTATAAAATTGTTTACAAACTCACCATTTTCTGCCAAAGGAACCTTGCAGAAATACCAACGAACATCACCCCCATCCGATGGACTTCTGGTCTGCACAAGATACTTCTGCCGACCCTCACACTGTTCGATCTCAACCACCAATCTCCTTATGTTCGACGGAGTATTCTTCAACATATCAGGATAAGTTTCTACAATCCCAACAGAAGTGGAAGCTTCCCCTTCACATTTTCTACTACTTCCACCTGCGTCTGAGTCCATAACCACCGGTTTCACCTCGGAAGCCACCATCAGTGTAGGTTTTGTAGAAAGTTCAAGTTTGGCAGGCTGAAAATAAGGATCCGATTAATAAGAAATGTCACAATGGGAAACTGTATCCTAAAGGATATAACACATCCTACTCCAGTGCTCAGAATATGTTTGAATTAGAGACCCAGATATACAATAATCTACCATGATATCCCATTGTTGTCCTCGAATAGGTGCTGGATTTGGTCAGATGTGTAAATCTGAAAAGAGAGAAATAATAACCAATTCTTTGACACAAATACACAAATTTCTGATGGGATTTTAAAGATTAACATATTTGGGTAATTGCTGTAGCTACTTTCAAATAGTCTAATACAAACTTCAAAACTTAACACAAAAAAGAAAAAGAAACGTAGAAAGAAGAAAATACTGGCTCTTTTTGGGATTCTTAAGCAAAACAGAATAAAATAATAATAATAAAGAACTAAAACATATACTATATAAAGAGAGATTAAAAGACGTCTACTAAATCCAAGACAGATTGATGCCCGTAGGGAAATAAATAAATAAAGGCTTCGATCTCTCTGTTAGGATTCAAATTTAGTAGTAAAATTTTGCGAAATTGCTAGTTTAACAGTCACAGCAAATTTTTTTCTTTTTTTTTCTTTTTTTTTTTGTGCGAACATTTAAAGGACTAAAAATAATAATAATAATTTACCGCAGATGCCTCAGAGTTTTCGAACAATTTGTAGTTAAGATGAAACCAAACCAACAGAATATATAAACCCATAACCAAGAATTATAAATTTGAGAAAAAAAGAAAAAACGACTCGACCCCAAATATGAATTTAACCCAAAACCCTAATTCCTGAATTCTATCGTATGCATTAGGATTTAGTAGTTGAACGAAAATTAGCATAGAGGAATAAGAGACGATTACGGTGTATTTGAGTTCGGCGGCAGCAGCGACGATGATGTGGTTAGGAAGGACCGCCGGCGACAGTGGTCGGCGGCGGGTCTTCTCTCTCCTCTCTTTTCTCCTCTCTTGTGGTTGGTTTTCTTTCTCCTCCTCTCTGTGCCTTGGCGGTTGGCTCCTTCACGAAGGATGGCAACATAATAGAAAATAAAAATAATAAAAATAAAGCAATCACCTAAAATACCTTGCGTTGAACTTGCATAATAAAAAATAAAAAAGTTGATTGCAAAACATTTCTGAGATTTAAGTACTTGATCTCCCAACTTTCTATTTTGAAGGAAAAAAAGTATACAGTATGAATAAATTTTCTAACAAAATTATTTATTATTACTTTAAAAAAATACAAAACATAGAGATCGGTATAATTTATTTATTTAATACTACAAATCTTCTTATCTTTTTAAAAGAGTATATATAAATTAATATCCTCTAATCAATGCGCACAGAATGAAATTCATATCATTTTAATTATTAAAGTTTTTGATATACGAATAAAGAAAACACACATTCAATTATATTATGTCTCTTATTGTTGTTTTCATAATTTTTTCTCTCCTTTTTAATGAGATTTTAGTTTATGGATTTGTTAACTAATGTTTAAAAAACAAAACCCAAATAAGATAAAAGAATGAGATGATTCCAGCATATTCTAAGAATCCACCAGAATGATATAAATAATGTTTCTTTACATAGAGTATTTTTCCAACTTTGTTAGTCACAAGCCACCCACCTAACGTTCTTGCAACCATATTTCCAACCTAACGTTCTTACCGCCAAAATATCTGAACTAGGTATTAACAACTGAACATTGTAATTTTACCAAAAATAAACAACTGGAAGCTTACACAAATGGAACGAAAGAAATGCAATCAGGTTGCAATAATAATGCAATAAGCAATCTCTAGACTCAACTCAACAAAGTCTTCCAAATGTAAAAATAAAAAATAAAAAATAACTTGTTTTTTTTAACTAACAGACCAGGCAGATCAAAATGCTGCACAAAGTGACCCCTCCACAAATGATATCAATTGCACTTGAGGTGCATTAGATTCAGCTTTATTCACTCATTTGCTCCACAATTTCTAGATTTGCTCATTGGTAAAATGTAGGAAAATGTGTCTTAAACAGGCAGAGCATTGAAGTGCACAGAAACTGCTGCTATCTAACAAATCCACCGATGCTACTGAAACTATCTTCACTGGTGATCTGAGGTGAGGTGGATGGGCCAAGATCGAATGGTCCCAAAGAGTCGTTCTGTATTCAGCCATTAAAAAACACAGAATTAGAATATCTGTTAGCATCAAAAGAACCCAACAAAGAACCCCAAACATATACTAATAAAATTTTAAGTACCCATTTGATTCCAGTTAGCCCAAGGCTGCTTTCGTCATTATATACTCGTGAACGAGGTGTCAAATCTGTATTGGATTCCTGAAAGGGAGAATCTTGCACTAGCCCGGTTTGGTTCTTGAGCTACAAAATACAAAGCAAGGTAAAATACATACAGGGAGGTAGTACTCATGCAAACCACAACCACAGACCAGAAATATCTTTTTGTAAGGGCAGATATTATCTCAAAATCAGCCCACCGTATTACCTTAACAATGAGCTGCTCGTCTTAATTTACACGAAATATACTCACATAAGGCAAAAACAATGGTCAAAGTCAATGCAAGAGGTAGTGTTAATTCTGCACAAATCTTTAAAGGTAATACAGAACTTTCCTAAACTAAATCAAACATATGGAGAGTCAGAAAAAAAATTGAAATTTTGAAATTTTGCTTCTAGTATCTCTATTCCATTGTTTCAACTTTCAATAATTACCTAAAAGACTCTGAATTCAGGAAAAGCTCAGGTAATTGTTCCTACTATTCAGAATATTTAGGAATCACTTAGGGTTATGATATCCGGAATGATTCGATCTTTTATAAAACTCTGTTTAAATTCCTCTGTCTAATGGATCCCAGGAAAAGCTTGAACTGATTTCTTCAAATAGTTGTAGACTCATAAACCCAGAGAAGGACCTGCTCTGATACCAGCACACCTTGTGTGAGTCTTCAAAATAAGAAAATGTAATTACCAATGAGGAAACAAAGCAAAAAGAGAGGAAAGAGAAGTAGAAGGAACGGGAGGGAGAACACAAAAAGAGGAGTTTTCAAGAAACTGAGGGGAGATGAGATAAAACTAGAAAAGTAGGAGGAAAAAGAAGAGAAGTGACAGAACAAGTACAATAGATGAATTGGAGAAAATATGGAAAGCAAAAGAGTAGAAAGAGTTCCAAAAGAGAGGAGAAAGGAGATGAGAGTTGGAACATATGAGAAAAGATAAGAGAGGGTAGAACTGAAGAAGAGAGAGAGAGAGAGGGAGCTCAAAAATTACACCCAAAATTCATTCATTTCAAGGTGGACTAATCCTGTTTTGTACCCATAAGCCAATTTACAGGCTTAACAAAATCCCAAAACAAACAGAAACTACTTAAAACCAACAATATCCACCCAAGTCCATATAATAACATATAGGGCAATTTTGTTCCAAAACCAATCAAATACAGCATTGTTATTATAAAAAAAGAACTCTTCACAAGACTAGTATTCAATATAATATTGAATCAATCGACCAGCATGCATAGAGTATGTAATTATTTTAAACCAAAAATTTACAGTTGGTAACAGAACTTACAGATTTCAGCCAAAATATAAGCAGAACAGAAATCATCAGCGCCAGAAACAAAATTTGAACTTTTATTTGCACAGTATGGCAATTTATGTCGGGATTTAGAGTGTCTATAAAAGTGTAGTGTACCTTTCAGTCTGATGTTTGAAACTAAAATGGACAAACTGACATGTTTATTGCTTACAATTTTGTTCAATGGCAATGGTTAACTGACATGTCTATTGCTTATAATTTTGTTCAACGGCAATGGTTGAAGGATGGATACTGTTGCAAGCTAAATGACATTGAAAATTGACAGTTTTCCAAAAATGATCTAAGAACTAGAACTATTAGCAAATAGCAGTAACAAGACCTGAGTACAAAAAGAGAGATGGGTCAAACCTCAGCAAAATTGGGAAATTTGAATGGCTTTGGACTACCATCATGGTTGCTGCCCCTTGAATTAGCACTTCCACCGAAACCCACAACATCTTTGGCTGACGAAGAGAAGTTCCGGAAAAAAAATGCATGACATGTCTCTTCGGCGTCCAAGATAGATGAGTGTAATTCATGTGATGATGGCTTTAAAACTTGAGGATGTGAATTTATTTGGCCAGCAATAAAAGCATCAAAAGAATCGGAGATCGATACAGTTGGCTGAAACCCTGATCTGCTCCCATCTGATTTTGGATCCCCAGTATTGATCTTGCCCTGCAATGATGCTTCAGACAGCAGACCTCCAATGCTTAAGGTAGTTAGGCTATCATCCCATGGCAGTAGTGATTGTACAGGGCCCTTATCCTTAGTTGGATGCAAGTCTGATTTGCACCCATTTGACTCTGGATCACAATTATTGATTTTTCCCTGCAAAGATGCTTCAGACAGCAGGCCTCCAATGCTCAAGTTAGTCAGACTGTCATCCCATGGAACTGTTGATTGTGCAAGACTATCCTCAATCTTAACTTCATCATCCTAGTAAGAACAAAATTAACACATTCAAGAAAAACATGTAATTGAAGAACTTTTCTAAAACTTTTTCACAGTATAAATAGAATGGATAAAAATATAAGCAGTCAAATATTATCCACTCCATTCTAATACTTCATCGGTCAATATCTTTACTTGAACCTATAAATGCTGAATCTAGATCTACAAAAGAAGTCATGTGCACCATAAATATAGTGAACTGCATCTGCTGCTTTGCTTATACATATTGGTTTAACCTCTTCACTTGTTACCTCAAGTTTATTCTTTCTGTCATGCATAATCTCCAAAATTGTACTGCAACTTCTATTGATTCCTTTAGATTCTAAACAAACCTCCAAAGGCATAGATGAAGAAGGCACCACGAAGGTTTCGAGCTCAACATTAGAGAACCAGCCATACCTTTAAACCGAGATCAAGTCAGAAGTTAGTCTAAAACTACTAAATGCCCACGACAAAGGATCAACTCACAAACCTTAAGCGAAAAATAACGGGACTTTCTATAGCTTCATGGACATCTCCCGCACTAATGCCACAGTCATTCAAACTCCATCTTCTGCAACTAGCTAAATTCTCCAACTGTACATTGTATGGGAAAAGCACAGGGTCCCCTTGAGCTACGCTTGAACTGCCCCATTTGTTATTGAGGTGCTTCAGCACAGAGGATATCTTCTTCCGAGCACTCAAAGTGAGTTCCAAAAATGGATTATGACCATCCTATAAGAAAGGAAAAAAAAAAAACATTATTTTTGTTAACTGATAGTTACAAAGCCTACTAAAGTAGAATTCTGCTTTGCTCAATTATTTCAGTTCATAACCTCACCTTCTCCAATCCTAAACGAGTGCATTCATCTATCGGGAAAAGCTGCAGCTTAATCTTTAGAGAAGGATGTAGTTGTCCAGCCTTAAGCTCCAATGCAGGTACAGTTTTAGTTGTTTCTCCAATAGATGTAACTCTGTTTGGAAGCTGCTTACCACCCAACACTTGAGCAGAACTAAAAGGTAAATTACCTGGATCTTCTCCAGTCAAAACATATTCACACTCCCCTAGAAATAGAAGGTTCACAACGACAAGTAGAACAAACAAGTTAACAAATAAAATAAAAGGGAATTCATAGGGGTGCACAAAAAAACTATTAGAACCGGTAAACTGGACCGGACCAAACCGAACGGTTTCAAGGTCTCTCTCTCTCTCTCTGAACCAGACAGAAGAACAGGACACATCCAAACAGTTGGACTGACATGCTACATTGCTACATCAATCAATGATGAAACTTTGTAAATGGCACATATATAATCATATAGAAGGGGAAGATCCTAAAAGTTACAATTTGGTGTATGTTACCAATGCTGAATATATGCAACTATAAAACTTTAATCAATACTACAAAACCTGTTGTTTTCTGATGCCCCCCACTATTTCGCTTCCTAGATTTCTGGACTCCTGAGAAACCTGTAGTTGCAATGTGCGTTTTAGAAGCCTCCACTGTTTTCCCTTTTTTCTGTCTTGTAGTTTTCATAGCAGCTCAGCTTTTCTGCAAATTAAACCAGTTATCATGTTATTTCCATTTTTCTCCGTCAAAAACACAAGACAACCCAAGCTTTCATCATTTTTGGGATCAAGAATCATCTAGTTCACTACATGACGATATGATTATTTTTGCTTTTGTGCTGTGTGTAAGCATGATCTTAGGGTCAATATCACTGTAAAGATATGAGAAATAACAAGCAGAAGAGACCAACAAAAAAAATATTTAATTGTTTGCTTGGTTGGGGTCTCAATTTAAGGCATGGTCTCTGCAGGCAATAGAATGAGTCAGGTATTGGCATCTCTTATCTGGATTTCAGGAGAGGCGCAATAACATGCTACAAGTAGACTTTAAATTTTTGAAGACTATTATTAAATCTATATTTTGAAGAAAGTTATTAAATTTATATATATATATATATATATATATATATATATATATATATATATTGTTGAGCAGTACAACAAATACACATAAGGTCTAATTAAAAATGTAAATAGATGATCAACAAAGGCATAAGCATAATAGCATACTACTATACTACAATGTTATGAATCACCAGGATAAAATGTGTTTACATGTGTATTTGTGAGAGAAAATGGCTAACTTCCCCACCCATTCAAAGAAAATAACTAAGCTCCCATAGTTACTTTGATAAATATATTGCTATATTTTTGTTTGGTTTATAGATCACAATTCATGAATTTAGTTCATTTTAAGTGCCCTTTCTCGAACGAATTTCTCTCCCTTCCTTTTAGTTGTTGCAGTCAATCTTTCAACTACAGTAGCAAAATCAGATTCTCGGGCATATACACTTCAGAATGAGACTCAGATTCTTATCGCAAATTCTGCTTAGATGATGCAACAAACCATTACAATTTTACTGGAAACATGCAGAGAAAGACAGAGAGAGGGAGAGAAAGCATCTTTTGTATTTGAGTTGGGCTGATAGGGGAAGGTGAAGTAGTCATCAATCTTGACACAGTTATGTCACTATATTCCATAATCAATTCCTTTTCTAGTTAAATATTAAACTGTACATCACTGCCAATAGATTAAATCCAAAAACATGAAATTGAGTCATGTTCAACTTGTTACTTGTAAGTAATATAAACATTAAACTAAAAATAATTGCTTATCAGAAAAATATAATTGCAATATGGTCCACTACATGTTAGATTCCAACAATAATATATATAGATAGAGAGAGCTTACGAGTAGTCATGATAGGATCAACATGCACTGAGGCGCCAAGGCCTCCTAGATTCTAACCACAAGCCGCAATATAAGGCACAAGCCTGAGTAAATTAAGGAGCATCGGAGATACATATGTTCATTACAAAATGACTAAAATTTTAATATAAGCAACTCAAGTAGTCAACATGAAAATGAGGGAATTTTCAGCAGCTCACTTCAATGAGTAAACTAAATCAATGTATAGATATCTTTTCAATTTGCATATATTTAGTTAAATTAATGTAAAAGCAAAACAATTCAAAATATATAAGAGGTAAAAACTTTTAATAATGGATTTTCTCCCACGCCAACTAAATGAGTCAGCTCAACCAATGTGTAGACAAAGAAGATGGGATCTTGGGAGTACATTCAACTTCCTCACTTCAGAATTTGACAACAATGAAGAGGAATGTGAAGAAAAAATAAGGCAGAAGAGGAAAAGTCTGAAGAAGCAGTCAAGAACTTGTAAGAAACTGAGGCAGCTGTCATTATTCAGTCTACATATCGTGAATTTGAGGTGAGAAAGTAGGAACCATTAAAGAAATAGAAGGAAATGTCTCAAGATGATTCCCAAGTAGAAATTTCAGAACTTATGTTTGTCAACAGACAAATAGGTGGAAATTGTAAAGATAAGACCATCGAACTTCCAATGGTATGTGGTGTGGTAGACATTACATCAAATTCAAGTTTCTTGGAATAACTTGGTTAGTAATAAAGCTTCTTTGTTCAAGGAGTCAAAAAATCATGATTTCCAGATTCATGACTTAATTGGGATGGATTCTTGTTTGGGTACTAAGGCTGCGTTTAGTAACAAGAAACGTTTCTTGTTTTCTGTTGTCAACCTCTAAAAAGGCAAAACGAAAACAAAAACTGCATTCAATAAAATATTTTTGTTTTTCTATAGCATAAAACGTTTTCAATTTTTGTGAAGAAACATAAAAATGATGTTTCTTATGTTTTCGGCACTGTAGCGCAGAAACATTTTCACTAATGTTACTACACCGGCACTATTCATTTCAAATAAAATTCAATATTATTTGTGTCAAATACTAAGTTGCATATTAAATGTTAGTTAAAATATATATTTTTAATATAGAATATATTAAATATTGTAAATTATTTTTTATTTGATAAAAATATATTTTAATGTATAATATATTAAATAATAATATAAATAATTTTTTGTCACAAAATAATTTTTGATATAGAATATAATGTTATTAAATTATTAAGCAGTAGATATTTTTGTTATTATATATCATATCTATATTATATTATATGTAAATATTAAATTATAATGAATTTACAATATTATAACACAATATATATTTTATTACATATAAGATATATTATTTAATATTTTTTATTCATAATAAATTATCATATGCTAAATATATTATATATCACATAATAAATGGATACATCATGTATATATACGTATTTATATACATAATTGGTGGGAATTTTTTATCTTTTTTTTTTTTTTTTTTTTTTTTTTAGTTGGCACCAAGAACTCACCTAGGCAGGGCCCCTTCGGGACCCACCCTAGGCTACAAACCTGGGGGTGTAAGAGCCTCGCCCCAAGGATAACACCGGGTAAGTAGGAGGACAAGGAAGGCGTGGGAGGAGTCGAACCTGGGCCGTTGGTGTGGCAAGCCGAGCTCCTACCATCACTGCCCCGCCTTCGGGGGCGGGAATTTTTTATCTTGGTATATCTAATTTTGTACGTATGATATATTGGGTATTTTTAAGATGTATAATTTTAAATTGGATTTTTTAGATTTATAGATTTTTGATACTAATGGAAGCAAGTATTATGCCTGAGTGGTTGTGTTGCTCCATGTGTTCGAGAGTTCGTGTTCAAGTCATTTACCCTCCCCCTCACCCTCACCCTCCCCTCTAATCACAACTCCTAAAATTCTTGCCATGAAAAAAATAAATTACAAATGAAAAAATGAAAAATAAAATAAAAAATGTAAAGAATATTATGTACATTTTGTAACAAATATATTGTATTATTAAACACTGTTATTGTTTTATGTTTTTAAATTTGTGGGAACAACAAGTGTTAATAAACATTATTTCTGCTTTCTATTTTCATTTAAGAAAGTAAAATCATGTTTCTGCTATCTTAAAACTGTAAAAACAGAAAACAAAAACGTTACTAAACGCACCCTAAGTAATTAAGCTTTGGAATTACTAAGTATTTACTTGGGAAAGTGGTAAAGTGTTATTAATGTTGTGTGGGGATTCTAAAAGTCATTATAGGAAAAGTCAAGTTTCATTAATAGTAGTATTATAAAAGGGACAGCTTTTATCACTTGTAATCAAGTATTAATCAATATAAGTTTGATAATATTATCAGATTTTGAACTTCTCTTCAGGTTTTCCCAGATTTCCCTTTAGAAATCTAGTATCCAACAGTGATTGGAGTATTTCTAGTCTTCCTTACTATTGTAAGAAGACTTGTGTTCATTCCTATTTGCTTCAGGTGAACACAACCACCCAATAGGAAAAATACTCTAAATCCATATATACAACAAGATAGAATATCAAGAACAATATTAAATCATATACACACAAATAACAAAACATGAAAACATCGAAATTAAAAATAAAAATAAAAAAAATAAAAAAAACAATAGTAATTATACGAATATTCCAAAAACAATCCAAATTCACGTAATAAAGTCAAATCTCAATCCAAAGAACATCCCCAACATATATACCGCACACACTAGCGGATTCCAAGTCATTCTCCGATGGACCGTTGACCCCAACTAAGGTCCAGGACAATGCTCTATTTTCAACCAGTTATACATGTATGAGCACACGAATCCAAATCACTTTCAAGAATATATAACACAAAATAAATGAACTATTAAAATAAAACAGATTACTCCAAAATAGAATTATTTTAAATTTGATGCCATCTATTTCATATAAACTTAGTAAATCCCTTTACCTTGTGCTGAATAACTCCACGAGCAAGCCTTACTCGTCACCGACCAACCACTCTACAAGCTCCACTCCACAGTTTGTAAAATAAATTTTCTTTTTCTTATTCTCTCAAAAGATTAGCAATCTACCAATCTTAGGTCTATTTTATAGGTGAATGTAGAATATATAAGGTCATCTAATTAATGTGTACTTAATGTGAAATTAATGTGTAAAGAATATATACAATCATATAACGTTTGGGTCATTACTATGCATCTAGAAATCAAATTCATCCATCTTTCAAATTATGGGACATGGGGATACGGCTAAAAAGTGTCCAAAAGTTGGACACAGACACTTAGACACTTGTAAAAAAAGAAAAAAGTGTACCTTTTTTTATGCATTAGACCTTAGTTTTTAAAATAAAAAATTAATAAATATATAAATGGAAAGATAGAAAAGAAAAAGGTGATACAATTTATAAAATAATATTATTTATCGCTACATTTGTTTACCTTATTTGCAAAGTCAAAGCATAAAGAGAGAAAAATACAAACGGCTCAAGATTCTCTCACTATATGTATATAAAGACAATATATATTACTTAAAAAAATAGTTACAGATTGTACAATACAGCTGTACACCATTCCATTTATAAAGCATTATAAATTATCTCTTCTCAACAGTGAGTCCAGGTAATACAGCATTCTATATTACTTTATTTAACTAACAATAATAGCCTGTTAAACCATGCATTAAAGCACACTTATCATTGCTAGCCATTCCTACCCCACGTTGGTACTCACACTCACTCATGAAAATGATTTTTGCTCAATGGTGAGCAAGAAATACGTCCACACCATGCATGGATGACTGTTGGATGTGATTGTTATGTTTTTTGGTAACTACCTTTTTTACATCAAATGGTCACTATGCATGGTGCGGATGAATTTTTGCTCACCGGTAAGCAAGTGATCATTACCCTAGATTTAAATACACATTTATATTATTAATTTTAATATTTTAAAATTACTTGTCATCACAGTAAACACAATAAAAAACAATTGAAAGGCAAGCCAATTATCTCAATTTATATCTCTTATCTTCAGCATCCCTAGCCTAACAGGCTTCTACAAAATTACTTTTAAGAGTTTCAAATTAAAAAAAAGGGGTAACCAAAGGGCCTTTGGCCTAATGGTATAACCTCCTCATCTTCAAAGAAGAGGGGAGGGGTTCGAGTCCGGGCGTGGACAAAAAAGTGTGTGCGTGTTTGCTTTACCATTCAAAAAAAGAAAAAATTAAAAAAAAGGGTAAAATCACAAAACCCCCCTCTACTATCAAATTGGTGCAAAAAACCCCACGAAAATTAAATAGGTCCCTCAACTAACAAAACCCATCATTTTACCCCCAAAACCGTGACGGACCCGTTAATTGGACTGTGAAATGACAAATTTGACCTTATTATTTAATATTAAATTAAAACTTACAAATTATTTTTTTAAGTGACAATTTTACCCTTTCATTAATCATGACACGGCGTCATTTGTCACCAAATTGTTTCCTTCGCACTTTGATTTCACGCACAGACTTATATACATATATCCATATATAGATATATATACACCCTCCGGTATATTAGCAATGAAGTTACTGAAAGTGGATAAAGCTCTGCCTCCTACATAAGCTTCTGCATCAACTTTTAGATGCTCAAATTTGACTTCAATTGTGGGCAAATCAAGTCCAACTATGAGAAATCCCATACATACATATACATATATATATATATATATACACACACTTCCATATTTCACCTGTAATGGCCTTTCACAACAGCACCATGTGCTCCAATCTCTTGGTTTTATTGACCGCTAACTAAACCCCAAAAGGATTGTGTTGACTCAAAATTAACTCATCATATTTTCATCCCAATTAAACTGACCAATCAGCACTGTAATACTCATGGGCCTTCTTGTTCATAAGTGGTGATCATAGCCGAGCTTGAATGGGTTCTTTGTTTACAAATCAGATTTAAAGAAATCCCAAATGGGTTTTTCATTAAAATCACCGACAACGCTAAATTTCCAAGCCAAACTCTTTCCCACCGTCCCTCGCATTTCCACCCCTCCTCTGTCATCTCATTGGTTGTCCGATTCCAAAAGCTCCATCTCCACTGATCCGCCAGCACCGGATTCATTGATCATAACTAGTTGTGAAACGAGAATCCATGTGTGATGGCCACGGCCTGGTTGTTGATTGATTTTGGGTTTGGGTTTTGGTGGCTGCCGCCAGTATAAACGAACCAATGGAGGATGAAGACCCAGAACAGAGCTTCAACCGTTTAATTAAAGAAAAGTCAGGGGTATTTTTGTAATTTTACAATAAGGATTATTAGTTTTTAATTTAACATTAAATTATGAGGATAATTTTGTCATTTCACACAAAAATAGAGTAACATGATAACATTTTTTAGTTCAGAGGGTTAGTTAATTTTAGTGGGGTTTTTTTGCACCAATTTGATAGTAGAGGGGAGTTTTATGATTTTACCCCTTAAAAAAATTATGCTAAGAAATTCATTTAGAGCACCGTGGATACAATTATAGTAGTGAAAATTTATTACACTCAAAATTAGCCTCTTTCCAAATGTTAACGCACAATGTTTGAATTGTCTCAGGCTCTCTCGTAAGCCTGACTTTAGTCTCATCTTGCAATTTTATCATGTCAAGCAAGATGGCTCAATTTGCTGTTGAAAAGGTTAAGATATAGTCTCAATTGTCGAACAATACTAAGAATGCTCAAAGTGACATCTCAGTCTCAACCAAAGCTTACCAAGTTAGGATCATGTTTCCTTGTTAAATTAATGATTACTTTTTACTCTTTAGAAGGTGAAGACAATCAAAAGGCTTCCAAGTTTCCAATGCAAAAACTATAGCCACCCAAAAAAAGGGAAAAATTATAAGACCAAAAGAAGAAGATTCAGACATATATAATTCTCTCATCCATTACCAAACTGACAAAAACAAATGTCATTACAATTCTAGCACTAAATTCCCCAATTAAAAATTTCAAGTCAGATAAGCCAACCATTAAAACTGTCCCTACTATCATTAACTTCCAAATCCAAGAAAACATAGGAAAAATAAATGAAAATTAAAACCTTGTAACAACTAAGGATTTGGAATGGAACCAGTCTTTACAAGGTTCCAACTTCAAAGTCATCATTTCTTTTCTTACTAATTTCTACATCCACCACAAAATAAAGTGGCGGACAAACCAGGACCTAGAGAAAAGCTAAAGTCCCATCACATATCATATGTGAACAATACGATAAAATAAAAGCACCTACTTTGGTACAATACAACTATCAGTAAAGAGATAGCACATCTACAAAATAAGTAAACTCAGAAATCGTCTATTCTTCTCATTGAACACACAAAAGGACAGCCTCAAGAAACCAAATACCCAACTCCCAGAAAGTAACCCCATACCATCGTAATTGTAATTTTTTTGTTTGGCCATCATAATTGTAATTAGACAGTTGTACTTTTACATATGTATATCAAAGCATACATATGTTGGTACTCCAGGTCATTTTGTATATGCACCAAAACCCTAGTGTCAGTTACAAGTTAATAACTAGTCTATACCCAATTCAAATATATAAAATCCAATACTTTGGTACAATACAACTATCAGTAAAGAGATGGCACATCTACAAAATAAGTAAATTCAGAAATAGTCTAGTCTTCTCATCGAACATGCTACAGGACAGCCTCAAGAAACCCGATACACAACTCCCAGAAGGTAACCCCATACCATTGTAATTGTAATTTTTTCTATTTCTTTTTTCTATTTTTGCCATCAAAATTGTAATTAGACAATTATATTTTTACATATGTATATCAAAGCATACACATCTTCGTACTCCAGGTCATTTTGTATATGCGCAAAAACCCAGTTTCAGTAATAACCAGTCTATACCCAATTCAAATATACAATCATAGCCTTATTATATTCATCTATTAGATCAGCATTTCGTAATACAAGAACATAGAAGCAGCTATGCATCAATAATCCAAACCACATATTCGGATCCAATTAACTAAAATTCAGATTCAAATCCCGAGTAAAAAAGAAAAATCAAATCATTTTCATCGACAAAATCAAAAATAACACTGTGAGTCGATTTCGTTCAGCAGATACCAAACTAAAGTTGAAGGGCTGGAGAAAAAGTATTCAGCAACGCAGATAAATTATAACGGTATAAAAATTATACAGGTAAAGATATGTGTGTTATAAACAGATGAATGTATTTCGTACCATCTCGAAGAAGCCTGTATCAACGCTGTGGAGCCCAGTGATATCGGGAAGGGAAGTGGAAACAGAGAGAGACGCGGTGGGGGAATTATTTGAGCACGAAAGGGGTGGCGGGAATAATTTGCAGAAGATTGGAACCGCCTTAATTTGAAGCAAAAGAAAGAATAGATTAGGTTTTCTTTTTCAATTCAATAAAATTCGACTACTAGCTTTCTTTGCCCTGCATCACCGACTTCCAATTACAATTTGCCACCTGGTTAACTACAACAATATTCCGTTGCAACCGGTTTACGGTGTTGTCTGCCTCGCATCAGAGTCCCTACCAGCGGCACTTTTTTCTCATAATTTCTTTTAATGCGGGTCCTAGACATCTCAGCCGTTGGATTGAAGAATACTTTATTATAACATGCCGATAATACGTAAATGCCCTAACGGTCCAACTAAAATGACAAGCTTAAGTGATAAGGATAAAAATAATAGGCAGCTCAAAGTCAAAAAAGAAATAAGATAAGGGTAAGGGATATATCTTATCCAAAATCTCCATGGAATCATACTACCATATGTAACCAGAGTTACCATTGCTGTAAGAAGGGAACGATATCATCTTGGATCAGGGAGAATCTCGCTTGAAAAACTACTACCATTAATGCTTCTATAAAAGAAAGGATCAGTCAACCTAAAAAGGTACGTCATAAATTTCATATTGAGTCCTTATCGGATATTTAATCGTCGAGTACTAACTTGACCGTCGGAGTGCACCCGACCGGCACCACGCCGGTCATCACTTCTCTTGTCGTGCAGGAATTGTCACAGACTCCAGAGTGTGTAGATTTTTGGCATCAACAGTTGGCGCCGTCTGTGGGAATGTATATTAGTCCCAACAAATTATGGTTCGTACAGGGAAAATCTACGACAAAACTTAAAAGCAATTCAGTCCCTTTACAATCTGGCTTTCTCTAAAAGAAAGAGAACAGTTCATGGATTGCATGGCCAAAAGTAAGGGTACAGTTGCTCAATCCGGTAAAATTGCTATTCAGTCCCTTTACAATCTGGCTTTCTCTAAAAGAAAGAGAACAGTTCATGGATTGCATGGCCAAAAGTAAGGGTACAGTTGCTCAATCCGGTAAAATTGCTAGAAAGTCCCGCCCGACCGCTAGTAGTGTAGATTTTTTGCATCAACAGTTGGCGCCGTCTGTGGGAACGTATATTAGTTCCAACAAATTATGGTTCGTACAAGGAAAATCTACGACAAAACTTAAAAGCAATTCAGTCCCTTTACAATCTGGCTTTCTCTAAAAGAAAGAGAACAATTCATGGATTGCATGGCCAAAAGTAAGGGTACAGTTGCTCAATCCGGTAAAATTGCTATTCAGTCCCTTTACAGTCTGGCTTTCTCTAAAAGAAAGATAACAGTTCATGGATTGCATGGCCAAAAGTAAGGGTACAGTTGCTCAATCCGGTAAAATTGCTAGAAAGTCCTGCCCGACCGCTAGTAGTTGTTTCATCATCGCTGTCCCGCCCGACCGCTAGTAGTTGTTTCATCATCGCTGTTAACCGGGTAAGTTTCATGCATTACGCGTATATCAAAATATATGTGTACACTTCCTCACATGATTTAAAGAGAAACAATTTTTTATGTGTTTCCAGTTGTCTGTAAAATATCGTTCACCTACATAATGATGTAGTTCACCTGGGGACCCTCCGATAAAATACTACGTTTTGAGGGTATTGTTCACAAAAAAAAAAAAAAAAAAAAAATGTGGGTACTGTTCACAGGGTGTAGAAAAAAAAACTATTTTGTGAGTACTGTTCACAAGGTGTAGAAAAAAAAATTATTTTGTAAGTACTATTCACATGAATAGTACCCGCGGGTACCGTTCACAGGGTTTAAAAAAAAAAAAAAATTTTCTTATTCTAGAGAACAATCGTTAGCTCCATTGATGATTTTGGTCCTATGATGCTCAATGATAAGTTTTTATCTTAATTGTACCTATTATGATATATATAAATATGTATATATATTATCTGTTCAAACTGGACATCTGTTCTTTTATTTTTGCTTTGCTAACTTTGCAAATAGAAAGAGAACATTAATGTTCCTTGTACGCGAGAGGGAAGCTTGGGAATGGGGGCAGAAAGTTAACATCTCTTATTAAAGATACGAGCTCACGAAACTCTGGAAAATCAGTTACTCACGAGGATGAACCTCCCATATTAAAAGGATAAGTTCATGAAGCTCGTAATTGCCATTCCCCGTATTATAAGGGATTCATATAAAAGCGCCCCGTACTATAAGGGCTCGAATTGAATGAAGCTCGTAATTGTTGTCTTCCGTATTAAAAGGGGTCGAAATCAACTTGTAAAATATACTTCCCTTTTTAAAGGGCGAGCTGAGTGAAGCTCGTAAAATATACTTTCCTTTTTAAAGGGCGAGTTGAATGAAACTCGTAATTACCATCCCGTATTATAAGGGATTGATATAAAAGTGCCCTGTACTATAAGGGCCCGAGCTGAGTAAAGCTCGTAATTGTTGTCCTCCGTATTAAAAGGGGTTGAAATCAACTTGTAAAACATACTTCCCTTTTTAAAGGGCGAGCTGAGTGAAGTTCGTAAAATATATTTTCCTTTTTAAATGACGAGCTCAGCTCGTAAATATACTTTTTTTTTTTTTTTAAAGGTAAGCTCATTTAGCTTAAAGAAAGCCTACTCCCTCAACTCACGAAGTTCGAACAAATCTTAAGAGATCAACCAAAAAAGGTCGCCCAACAAAGGTTAACCTAAAAAAGAAATTGATTTATGCCAAAGTGACGTCACTCAAAAAAACACTTTTGACATTCTCGATACTTGACAAGCAAGCACGAGAATGGGGGGCAACTGATAAGGATAAAAATAATAGGCAGCTCAAAGTCAAAAGAGAAATAAGATAAGGGTAAGGGATATATCTTACCCAAAATCTCCATGGAATCATAATACCATATGTAACCAGAATTACCATTCCTATAAGAAGGGAACGATATCATCTTGGATCAGGGAGAATCTCGCTTGAAAAACTACTACCATTAATGCTTCTATAAAAGAAATGATCAGTCAATCCAAAAAGGTACGTCATAAATTTCATATTGAATCCTTATCGGATATTTAATCGTCGAGTACTAACTTGACCGTCGGAGTGCACCCGACCGGCACCACGCCGGTCATCACTTCTCTTGTCATGCAGGAATTGTCACAGACTCCGGAGTGTGTAGATTTTTGGCATCAACATTAAGTATCATTTTTCTTTTTTGTAATATGTTTTCATTCTCACTGTGAAGTCATATACATGATTTATATCGAGTGTCCATTTATAATCTTCTAAACAGATGATAAATAGTTTCAAGGGAATAGTCGCGTTGACAATGATTCGAAAGGTAAGTTTTTGAAATTTCGTTTTCGAACCATATTATGACATAATATTATTATAAAAGTATTTCTCAATGGGTCAAGTATAGAAAACACTCATAAAGTATACTCACAGTATGTACATATCACACCCCTCACAATATGTACATATCACACCCCTCACGTGTAAAAAATACCTTTAAAGTTTCAATTTGGTATAAATAAGTCCATCGGACAAATTTAAACCCTATGTTAACTAAATTACCCTTACTAGATCATTTTATAAAGTATTCCGTATATAAAAATAAATAATTTTGTAAAATGACCGAAAAAGACACCATTGGACGAAAAGTGCAAATTAAATAAAACAAATTTGCTCTAAACTCCGAAAACCAGTGCACCCTCGTATTGGGATTTTTTTCCCTTTTTTTTTTGTTTAACAGTGTTGGTACGAAAAAAATAAAATAAAAAAAAAATAATTTAGTAAAAAACATTAAACTGAAATCTCAAAAAATTCAAATTATTGTTTTACAAATTCTCAAAGTTTAAAAAAAAAAAGTTTTGAGATACATATACAGAGAACAAAGTTTCAAAAATATATATACGTATAAGGTAATGTGCACACAATACTCATATACTATGAGATTAATATCACATATATACCTTGGACATTTTTGGAAGAGTAAAAATGCAAAACGAGTATTACAACACTAATTTATGTCAGATTTCTTATTGAGGGGTATTTTTGCACAATGTAAAAAAATTATGATTGATTTTTGCACATTTTTTTAAATAAGGAGTAAAAGTGTTACGCGGAGTATATAAGAGTGTTTTTTGCACTTGTCCCATTTCTCAATAATGAATAATTATATTAAAAATCAATTCTTAATACTTAAAGTAGCTCTTAAATCAGAATGAATTGGTTAAGTATCCAATTTAGTGCTTTTAATAACATAATTTAGATTTTGTTTAAGAAGAAAAGTTATACGTGTAAGATTTTAAGTGAGTGATACTTTATCATTGAGCACTGCTCTATTTAGATAAATGAATGGATTTGATAGCAAGATATTTGAACTTAAATAAATCATTAATAATTGAAATTAAACACAACTCGATCTTTTATCAAACATGAGAAAAACATATTTTTATTGCCTTATTGTGACATTAATTTCAAATAATTCCTTCCACCTTATTTGAAATCCATGCACTGATGCTAGAGCAACCACCCTCGTATTTGAAATTCATACATACAGAGCCTCAAATCATGCATGCATCAGCATTATTGTTAAATTACATGGTTAAATTACTCATGATTCTAAATTTGAGCTATATATATTTTTTTCATAATTGATACTCATACACACATGCCTCTACTGAAGTTTGAACCCTCTTATACTGCTAGGCCAAGCCAAGCCAGACCGGTTGGCATTGTCATTCATGTTGAGTTTTTTTTTCCCGTTCCTGCATTTTTTAAAACTATTTATGGAATACATTGTTGTACATATATTAAAGATACAACAAAGTGACGTTCAGGAAATAAATAAATAAATAAAAGAAAAATATAAAAAATAAAAATAAAAAGAGAGAGAAAGAAAAGGATACAACAGGGTTATATATTAGGAGGATCCGCACATATGAAGACCCGTCGAAGGACCGTGAATATTTTTTTAAGACCTGTAAGAATATTTTAGCAAGCAAAAGTGCAAAACAACACAATTATCCAGAAGTCACAAGAGATATTATGCTAAACAACTATAAACATTAAAACTCAAAAGAAAACCATGGCCTACAGTAACCTGTTAACGACCCACTCAAAACAAACCTTACATAACAGATGTTGATAGGAGAGAAGCATCGACAGCTTGCTAGTGTTGTTATATTCCTCATCAGGCTTTACTTTTCTCTGCATGTCTTCTTTCACTGGGGAAGTGCAGCCAATCTCCAATCACGAAAGAAATTTTTCAGTAAGCAGACTCGTGGCCAGGACTATCAGCATGTATGTCCATCGATGAGTCATTGGAGCTTGTGGTATTGGATTCCCTGTTTTGGTGATGAGGGTAACTAGTTTCATTATTTCGGGGTCCGTTCACAGACGGCGAGTGGTAGCCTTGCGCCAAATGATAGTGCTGAAGGCTTCGGCGAACAGGGCTGGAGAGAGCATTTGAGAAAACAGAGTTCTTAGCTTGGTGATCGGAGTGCCCTGAACGAAGTCCCTGAGCAGCTGTCACCGAACCAAACGAATTGGAAGAGACTGGGATGCCTGAGTTATTCGAGTGCATTGCAGTTTGAGAGTGTTGGTGCTGTAATGGCAGCCTGGGGGACAATGGGGGCTCCTCCGCCCCATACTCGAGCTCATTCTACAACAATGTCAGTAAAAGTTGTCACAATGATGCACTAGGGTAACGAAAATAGTTCCATCCGTAGAATTGCATTCAAGGAACAATCCCCCCGCAAAGTGGAGTCATTAGAAGATTTCCCAATATTAGAAAGGAAAGAAAAGGAAAAGAACTAACCCCATAAATTACCAGTAGACATGACATTATTTTTTAAAAACCAATATATAAGTAAGCTGCTTATGCGGCCATGTTTAGAGATTAGAGAGACATCTTGACTGTACCTTCATCAAACTTTATGCATTCACATTAATTGTCGATGCATGCAAGAAAAGTGCTGGAAAATAAAGTTGCCCTAAATTCCTGAAATTTTTTTACTTTGCAACTCCATCTGTTGTGCCAATTACAGAGAAATATCAATTACCAAAAAAAAGGGAGGAATAAGAAATTTACAGGAAATTAGGTGCAAACTACAACTTTGTTGCACTTAGACATATATTATTGCACCAAATTACCATGAAGCATTAGCTTAGGTGGTCCTCATTAATTGGGTGCTGGAAGGGGTGGACTAGAGACAGACCTAACCTTTAATATTAGGGTGAATTACACTAACATCCCCCGAACTTTTCCTCTATTACAACAGATGCAAACTATGGCAGGACCTACACAAACCACCCGTCAGAAAGTTTAATAAAATGTCAAGCTTTCCCTCACTTTTAAATGTTTTTTTATTCAAAAAAATCTGGCATGTCAAATGACCTAAATGCCCAACACACACAACTCTCTCTCCACCTGCCACCTCATCCCTTTCTCCCCCTGCACCACCATCACTCAACCGCCCATTTCCACCACTCCAGCCCCCCCCCAAAATCCCTCTCTCTTTCTCCTGCTAACCATTCTATAGCCAAAACCCTCCTGGATTTCTTCTCTCATGCCTTCTCAAAACAAAAATAAATCAAATCAATCACCAAGTGAATCAATGCCCCCCCTCCTCACCACCCGTCCTCCACATCACCAACACCCAATCCACCACGACATCACTGAAACCGTCCGCAACGGCCTTTCCCAACGCTGTCCTTTGTCTGAATTCGTCGAACGCACCACCCTCTCTAACCACAAATCCTTCTCCGACTCCATTCTCCAGATCCGCAAGTCGCAACTAGAGAAGCTAAAGACAGATTCCGATGAACTCGATTTCATTCTCCTAGTTCATTGCTGTCTGTGTCGAAGGTGAACTGCGAACTATGGTCCAAGAAAATCCATTTCTATAGCTAAGAAATCTACTGATTCTCAATTGAATACAAATGGGTCAAAAAAGGATTTGATGTATAAAAAGGAATTATTGAATACAAATCTGTTGTATACACCAAATCCTTACCAAAAGCAATAGATTTGTATTTAAAAAAACCCTTGCCAAAAATAAAAAATAAAAAATCTAATTTGTATCGCCACCAACATCATCTATCTCGAGATCTTTCTTTCTTTTCCCTTCCAAAACCAACCAATTCAAACCAAATCTTAACTTGCCTGGAATTTTATAAATATAAAATTCAAAAAAAATTTCGCATTTGACACCAAATTTACCAACAAATCGCTCTCTTTACCTCTCCATCTAGATATCACCAGAGTATAAATAGGCATACTCTGGTGATATATCTAGATGGAGAGAGAGAGAGAGAGAGAGAGAGAGAGAGAGAGAGAGAGAGATCTGACCACCCCAATTTCATAATTTCATTTAAAACTATTGTTTCCTAAATTAATACTTAAATAAATATCAATTGAACAAATTGCATTTTTTTTTTCAAATATATAAAAAATTCAACTGGATATTCTCAAATGTGCATATATAAATATATAATTTACAAAAAAAATTAAAAATTAAATTTTTATTTAACATTATAATATCCAGTTAAATGTTTAGTAAAAAGTACATAAAATGTTAGTTTATGTATAGCAATTACACATTACAGGGGCAGGGGGCGTGCGGGTATCACGCGCCAACTCTCAACTCTCAAGGGGGCCATTAGTACCAAACTCCAAAGTTTGTATCTATGTGTAATAATTGAAAAAGTTCCCCCGGGGGGTGAGGGGTAGCGTAATTCACCACCCTCAATATTATTTGCACAAAGTGACTGCTCTTAGGCTTTATTTTGTATGATAAATACTGAATACCAGTTACTTACAGTAGATGGGTAAAGACTGCCAAACAAATCCATATACAGAATGCAAGAATTATTTGATGAAACATGGTTCAATTTTTTGGTGACAGTGCTCTGAAAGCTCAACAAAACAAATAGTACAACACCATCAAATCACAGCACTTCTGAACAAAACAATGTCAATTCATTCAATAAATTGAACTAGAAAATAAACTATGCAAACTCCATCAATCCTCCTTGTGGATCTAGTAAATTAAACTGGAGAAAAATACATTCTTTATTAATCATTCTTCTTGATATAAGAAACATTATGTTAGACATCATTGCAAGGCCGGCCCTGAGATTTCCAAATTTTTTAGAGGCCCTAGGCGAACTTTCAAATGAGAGGACCTTTTTTTTTTTGGCCCATGTCCTAAATTTGAGCCTTCCAAATCGGAGGCCCTAGGTGACCGCCTGGGCCCAGGGCCTGCCCTGCATCATTGATAAAAAATGGTGACAATACCTAAATTGCAGCTTAGGGTTCATTGCAAGCACTGTGCAGTTCTTAAAATTTATAAAAAGGAAAATCTACTACTACATATTAAAAACAACTACTAAAATCTATAATATGTAGTATTATAAATCTACTTAGTTTTAGCACTGTGTAGTACATATTAATACTACTAAATTGCAGTTCGGTTTTCTGTATTTATCCAACTTCATCACTTTAATGTTAGCCAACTTACTACATATTTATCCAGATACTAGCCTCTCACTATCTATTCTTTCTTATTTCTCTTAAAATTATAGATTTACTCCAAAGCTATAATAGGTTTATAATTGATCCATTAACACCCCAAACCCCACCCCCCCCCCCCCCCCCCCCAACCCCAAAAACCCAACACACGCACACACCCCTCCCTCTTTTTCCTAAGTACTAAAAAACATTTACCAAAATGAAAATTTTCAACTTGAACTAATTCAATAGGTCTATCTAAACTCCTATTTATAAGTACACTACTACAAATAATTGAGTGTTAAGTCTTAATAATTTATTGGTCCATTATAGAAAATGTGTAAATTATTTAATCTGAGATATTAGTAATAAATACAAGGAAAAGTTGGAGTCAAAGAATGAGCTATACTTCATAAATGGAACTAGGAAATTAAAATTCTCCACATATAGGGTACACATACCGATGATCAGGATATGTGAAAGCCATATGAACTCGACAGATCCTTTTACAATTCATGAATTCAACCACATCCCACCCCCCCCTCTTTTCCTCCTTCCGGGGTAAGTAATGATTGTATCTTAACAATTCATATTTTAATAGAAATTCCAAAAACCTTAACCACCTACTAATTTTATGAAAACTTGAAGAGCTCTGATGAAACCTAGTTAGTGTGGATAAAATTTGAAATACACCATGCTTGTTCCAATGGCAAGGCTTAATACTCAAAATAAGCCAAAAAAAGAAAAAGGATGACTCAACACCATATATTTGTATAATGATATAATCACCAGAACAGTCGATCTTCAACCATGCCATGCTGAATCCTACTTTTTAAGAACTATTCTACAATCTATATACTCCCTCGTTGCCTAAGCATCTCGAAACTAACTATACAGACTAAATACAGCCCAGTAATGACCTTTAGAAGTCTTAAAACTCGCGTGCCATTTTTAATTTCCAAGTATAACTTCTAGGTTTCTTAAAGCACACAAATTACCTTATTAGGCCAAAATTTCAGCAACCTTATGCTACTGAAATTACCGCTTCCTTCTAAAAATCTTTTGGGGGACCACCAGGTGCTGTTTCCCCATCTACATAAAAAAAATATATAAATTTATTTGAAGCTGAACCAGACAGCCACTTGCATATTTGAGACAGCCACTCACAGTCTGGCCTCCGTAATCCTACCTCATCTGATGACCCCTTGAAATTCTTCACCTCAGTTTTTCTTTAATTAATATCCTACTATGTTTTCACTAGAATAAATAACACTTGAGCATGTTCTCCATCCATTACTTCTTGCTGCAGTCAGCTTACCCAAATTATTAGGTATTATATCTGCCTGTACATGAAAATCTGCGATAATTCTCTTAAAACCTGATAGTCAACCAACAACATATGACATGCTTCTAAAGTAAGAACATCAAAGTCGATTGTGTCATGATATTTCTTCAGTACTGAAATTTCTATCAACTATTTATTGGTGACTTTCTTAGCTGTTTGGTAAACCAGAAGGCAGAGTAATGTTTAGTCTTACCAGAAAAATAATAATGTTTAGAACACCATTTTATTTTTTAGCAACCATAAACTTTCACCCAAATCAATGATAATATTGCATAATTTAACTTTCACCTTCACTCAGCATCTGATTGCATTACTCCACAAACTGATCTTCCAACCATTTTAAATTTAAATTTTGCCCATTCACAAGCACAACCTCTCTTCTGTCACGACATAAGTTCAAAATTCAGCTTCACTTTGACTGATTGACTTTAATTGATTTCTAGTTCTTACTAGATTATCAAGTGTGCATCAAAGAACTAAAAGTTTATATCCTTCTCTTGATATATTTCACCTTTATTTCCATATATCATAGGACTAAAGGGCTCTTGCTAGGTGATTTCCCATAGGTAATATTTACTTAACCTGCAATCTGAATACTCGGTAGCAAACAATACAACATGGATGCCACTTTTCGAAAAACCCATCACATGATATCAGTTACCTAACTAATTATGGCAATCTAGTCTTTTTCTGTCTAGGCTGCTGATGTATAAAAGTTACTGTGACAGTATATGATCAAGAGCAAGAAATATTGGGTCCATCCATCCACTCATTCTAACATTTACCATTCCTCGTCATTTTCTACACTACTTCCTTTTCATCAACTCCCATCTAACAAATAGATGCATATCCCTGCAACCTTGTGTCCAAACTCAATGCCACTAATTGTTCCTCCAGATTCCAAAATTCAAATTTTCCTTCTTTTGTTCCTTCCCCCCCCCCCCCTTTTTTTTTTGATGGGTAAAGTTTGATTGTTTCTATGAACATTACATGAGGTGTAGATTAATGGCAAATATGCATGAAGGTAACAGACAATGATTCTTTAAGGATTAAAAAGAAAAGTGAAATTACCCAGATTTTTGGTAGGGTTCAGGTAGAAAGTTGAACAGCTTTTTAAAAACCCATCCAAATGAGAAATTGTTTCGAATATGTGATGAGGCATCTAATTGGTATTATGCCATGCCAAAAGGCCCGTGAAGCAACACACCTGAAGGTACCTAAATTCTATATATTTATATATATATATGTTGAACAGTCAACCTATGAAGGATGTGAATAAATCTTTAAAAAACTGGGTAAGTTAATTCCATGAAATGATGGGGGGTCCATTTAACTCCACACCAAATGAGGAAATATCAATTCTATGACCATCATTTTTTTTTTTTTTCATATCCAATCACATGAAAGAAAAAATCAGATGTAATTCCAGTTCAACTCTTCCAGACTCCTTGTAGATGTTTAAAACCATTCCAAGTGGACTTTGAACAGTTCACTTTAAGAAACCACATAGCTTTGATCATAGAGAATACATTATAGAGAAATAAATAGCAGGTGTAGTTTTGTGATGCAACAATTAGAGTGACAAACCAAAAAAGAACCCTCCAGAAAAAGTTTAAACAGAAACCTGTAAGTAAGCAATTATATCAACAGTAGCCACTCTTGATCCATCTTGTTGTTGTCTCAGAATCCAATTATAGAGTTTCTCCTGCAACCCAAAGGTTCATTTCATTTAAATAAAAGGACACAATTTCAAGTCACAACTAAAGGCCAACAAATTACTCCACCAAAACAAAAAATGAGCAAACAACGACAAGGCCTTGCACCTAGTAGAGGTGCTATTAAGTAACATCTTGAACATTCTAAATCCATTCAAATGAAGTATTAGAGAAATAAATTCAACCAAACAGATCTACAGCGTTAATTCAAAGAGAGAGAACTGTAAAAGATAAGAAACCACAACTCAAGTTGGAATCAATCAAGATACATGATGTCTGCCCTGATTCTTTTTTATGTCCCACAATGCCAAAATTGCATTGACATGGGTTGATGGACAAGAACACCACTAGAAACAGACACAATAGTGTATCTTAAAGACTAATATATACAAATATAAGAACACAACATGTATGGGTTTGTCTGCGTGTGGCTATATAAACAAATATAATATACATATGTATGTACACATATAATTATGGTGACTCCTCTCCTCCCATCCCTGCTCCTCCGATGAGACCTGCCTATCTTACTTTTGAATTCAATATATAATTATATATTATTTTGTTAAAAGAACCCTTATTTTCTTTACAATTATAATATTTCCGTATACTAGGGGGAAATCATATATTATCATATATTGTATTGAGAAAATGATCAAGAAGTGTTGGTATTCAATATGGACGAAGCTTGTATTCAATATGGACGAAGCTTTTATACAAGTGTCCATACTCCATCCTTCAATAGTATTTGACTCGTACAGTTCTATGGGAGGACAAAGGTCAATTTGCAAAACAAAGGCATACTTGTGCTATTATAATTGCAATTTGTAATACAGGCCATGCCAAAGGTGTCATTAAAACAAAATTAAGCAGAGAATATGCATCAACACATAAATTTGCAAAGCCAGATAAAAAAATAATATATATATAAGATAAACCCTGTGAATGAAACCTTTCAAGAAAAATCTAACGCCAAAAAAAAATTATAAGATAAAATAAAGTAAGGAAAAGAAGAGAATGAGGGAGAGTCGAACCAGAGCGTGACGTTCACCGGCTTGGAAGGAGTTCCTCTGCTGGTTCATGGCCTGCGTGTAGAGTTGAGACAGCGAATTGGCTCCGCTGCAGAAGGCCGAGTACATGGTTCGATCGACCTCGTCGAGGCGACTGGCATCGGATTTTCTCTTCTTCGCCATCGCTAGGAAAGAACCCTAAATAAATAATTTAGTAGTTCAAGCGAATCGTTTTCCCCTTTTTTATCTGAACATATTTTCTGTATGGTTGTTTGGGAATTAGGGATATATATGGTGAGGCAAGTTTTTGGATGTGTCGTTGGTGGAGGAGGAAACGTGGCCTGCTTGCTGTGTGATATGTACAACCTATGCGGTTTGTTTCTATTTTTTTTTTTTTTTCAATTGTTAGATAAAGTACAATGACACCTTGTGGTTTCGGAATAGGAGTGAGAATTCATGTTTGTGAGTACGTTTATTAAACAAGTAAACGTGTTAACTGTTTAATGATTTGTTTATCAAAACCAGACATTTAATATTTAATCAAATACTAAATAATTGAAAAAAATTGTCACAATTAACCAAAATATTTAGAATAAGAAAAAAAATCATAAGGCATAGACAAAGTTTATGTGAAATAACTTAATTATCCATAGTAATTGGATTTAAATATGTAACATATACATAGGTCGTATTTATGATTATAACATGTCGTTAAATGGGTCATGAACGGGTTACACGGGTTGAACTTCTAAATCCTAACCCGAACTATTTTAACTCATGTCGTGTTGTAATTTGCCACCCTTATTTAGGAGTAAGGACATAATATACAAGTTGTCTTGTTTTTTTTACAATGACACTCCTATCCAGATTTGCAATCCAAACAATTCTTAAAACACGTGAAAAGTCTACTTTACCCTTCATTATTTTATCAAAATAATTAAATGATCACCCAACAACTCAAAATTCAAACAATATGAAATTGGGTCTTTTGATTAGATGCTTAATTGGATGCCCCTGCAATTTTCGACGACCACCACCCAACGCCATCACCCAATCATGAATACAAATTTATTATTGAGTTGTGTATAAAAATATCATTAAAAAATCCAAATTCAACAACATAGGCATGAATGTTTTCACATATGACACCATCAAGCCTCCCCGCGTGGAGAGTAAGGATTTGAACGACAATGAAACCTGTGATACCCTCGATTCTAGAGTCACAGGTAATCAAGTTCGCACACAGATCCGAGGGATACAAAACAATTAATATTTAAATAAACACGGAATACAAAATGAAATAATAAATAAATAAATGAAGGCTGAAAGAAATCTATAAATATAAGCCTTAAAATTAAATAATTAAAATCCAATAATCCAAAACCTCCATAAATATCCTCCAATAATTAAACAACTTGGGAATCCATCTAGTGGATCCCTATCAAAATCCCAAACTGAAACATAAACAATTGAAATAAACTCTAAAACTAAACCATGAAGATAAATCTTACGTCGTCGGAAGAATGAGTGACTGTCTCTACTCAGCACGAACAAACTCTAAGTCTGAAACTGTCGAACACCTGAAAAATGATAGTGGGTCAGGCCCACGGGCAAGTTTTATACTACTACAATCCAAACAGAGATCCGATACGCATGTACATCCTAAATAACTCAATAATAGTTATATAGTCTGTAAATATATATATCCACACTAAAAAACTCTCACTGGACTACAAAGCCTAAGCCTAACAGGATATACCTCTACTATCATAACCAGTTATGCATCCCAATGTGCACATGCTCCCTAACCGTCGATCCTGAAACTCAAGCTCATATCGAGGTACCATAATCATATATATAAATCATATCCTGTCCATCCATAAGAAATCCAGTTAGTCATTCAAACTTGTTCAGCCAATCTGACTTAAATATAAGTAGGATTTTACTTTATAATCCATTATCTTATTTCAAATAAGTAGGACTTAGCGTTTTGAGCTAATCCATCCATAACATGCCACTGTCCCATACTGGTGCATATAATCTATAAATCCAACAATTGATAATACAAATAATAAATGTAAACATCATTTGTTCCATACTAAGCATGCTAGAATTATGTAAATTAACACTTAGTTGATACTATTCCACAAAATCCAATAATTGACAATACAGATGATACATGTAAACATCAATTAATTCTTAATAAGCATAATTGAAGTATATAAATTAACATGCTTATTTTCTACCACCGTGGCATGATTAAAACTATATCAAACATAATCAATTGCTAATTTACAGATAAGCAAATTTAATCATCCGCATCCAAGATCAATATGCAAATTTACTTAAGAATTTCATATTGTTCCATATACTAATTTCCTGTGATTTATTATGTATTATCATGCCCTCTAGAACTTTACTAAGGCTTTAGACATCACTGAAAACCCCTAGTATAGCTCCGAATTGAACTTGGAACTTTCAAAACCCAAGCACCATAGCAAAACAACTTGCCGAAAAAAAAAAAAAAAAAAAAAAATCAAAAAACAAAGGAGCCGGCTCCCTCAAAGAGGGAGTCGTCTCTTTTCTTCAAGGAGCCAACTTCCCCTTTGAGGGAGCCGCCTCCTAACCTTGTAAAGCCGGCCCCCCACCATGGGGAGCCGCCTCTTTGCTTAGGGGAGCCGCCTCCCTTCCAAAAGGGAGCCGGCTCTCCCCCTGGTCCATCAACTGCTTCAACTCCGGCGATGTCCAATTACTCCGTTCCTCCATTCCAAGGTTCCTACTGGTTAATACAAAGTACCAGTGTGTTCCAGAACTAATTAAATTCATTATTCATTAATCAACATCAATTAAAACAAGAATTATGCAAGAAAAGTTTAAAATCAAGCAAATACCAATTTGTGATTACATATATTGTTTTAATCAAATATAACATGCAAACCAGATTAATTTAACGTTTATTTACTCCTGAAATTGTGTTAGGCATGTAAAGAACACAGATCAAAGGGAAGTAGATAGATATAAAACTTGCCTTTAGGTTTCAGTTTGAAACCTTGCACCGTTGTCTCTGAATTTTCCGATGATTACCGACTACCGACTACCGTAAAACCGCCTACTGCTCTGGTTCAATCCCACAAGCAATCCCTTCATTCCTCCTTGGTCTGACATTTAATCCATGGCTGAAAACCTAACTAGTTCTCTCTGTTTACTCTCAAGTCTCTCTCTGTTCGTGAATAGGGTTTTCAACCCTACACATACGTATACTGTTGTATTATAGTCCAAATTACTTTAACATAATTCTTATTATACTATAGTAAGGAAAAGAAAAGAAAACTAATTGAATTAACAAAGTCGGCTATCCCGTGAAAAACACAAAACCCTAATATTATTATTAATGAAAACAGCTAATTAAATTTTCACATAAGTGTATATTAAAGAAAACAAATAATCAAATTTAAATCATTAAACAAATAAAACAAATAATTCAATTAAATAAAATAAATAATACAATTAACTCAATTAAATAAAAACAAGTAAACAAATAATTCAATTAAATAAAAATCATTAAACAATTAATTCAATTAAAAAACAACAATTAAACAAATAGGCAAATAAACAAATAAGCAAATAAAAGGCAATAAAACAATTAATTAAAATGCCGAGACTATTATTTTAAAATTAGGGGTATTACAAAACCAACGAGCGAGGATGGTCAAAGCAAAATGACAGCCGCGAACTTTGGGACTAAAATTTTCGGCGAGGACCAAGCTCCGATGACGATGCAGCCGGGGACTGAATGGTGAGGCGAGGTTTAAAAATCGAGCAATAAAAAACCGACGAGCAGAGACGATATGGTGAGGACTAAGCTCCGATAACAACAAGGTTCAGATGAGCGCGGTCCAACGAGTGTCACCTGTAAGGCCGAGGAGGCTGAATTGGCCATCACCCTTGTCGTCCGATTTGAGTCCTTTTCGTGCACAGATAAGAACTAGGGGTGGTGATGTACGCAAATGAGGAGGTGATATATATATGTGTGTGTATGGAGAAAGAGAGAAGGGGTTCTCGTATAAAAAAGAGAGGGGTATTTAAGTCAATCAAAATGTCAAATTTATATCAAAGGGTAATAAAGTCAATTTATAATTGTCAGTGTCTATTTGTCAAATTTTTAAAACTAAAAGGGGTGTCATTGTCCAAAAATAAACGAACTTGTATATATATGTCCTTATCCCAAATCTCAGGGGGGTGTCATTGTACATTACCCTAATTATTGTTTTTGGTTCAGGGTTCAATGCTTTATTTAACGGACAATTTTCATGTCCAATTTCCTTACTTATCAATTTCTTGATTTTGTAATTACAGATTGTTTGTATATTTTTGTGATTGGACCACATCAACAATCAATAAGGTTGACATAATCACAGTAAGTAGGTAAATATTGTCCTTCTTTTATTACCAAATTAAATATGGTGTATGCACCACAATCTATGATTTGGTAAAGAGTACTTACCCCACTATTTCTGATTTGGTAATCACACCTTCTCTAATTTGGTAAGTGAGTATGTACCCACTATTTATAAATTGACAATTAAAGAGGATGTATCCATTTTTTATTGGTCATATTAGCGGTGAGGACCTAAGTCACATAATTATTCTCAACGAGTGTCGCTCTAACACTCCGAGGGTACTCCCGCTCTCACGCTCCGCACACGTTTTGGCTCAAACTCTCACTATTTATGACTTAATTATGCCGCTCTCACGCTCCAGCTATCCAATTCGCTCTCGTTTTATGTGACTTAGGTGAGGACGGTGTAAATTCTCACTAGCGAAGACCTAAGTATGCTCCATAAAAAAAAAAAACATGTCTATTTTTTATTGGTCCACATTGGTAATGAACCCTAGTATATAGGCTCATATCAAAGCCGCAACATAGAAGTCACATAACGAAAGACACCCTAATGTCACAAGCTTAGAGATTTGGAGCAGCGGCACGGCCCGTGCGGCACCAAGGCATTGTTTCAACTCACGCAAGCACCCTGGTCAGCTACCACGACCTACCCTCCCAAGGGTACATGCTGACTGGTTTCGACCTACCTTGGTCTCATCACGGGAATGGCTCCAGCTCCCGACCAATTTGTGCAGGGATGGCCAACTCTCTTCTTTATAGTCAAGTCCACGACTAACGACAAACACCTCGAACTGAACCGAGTCGACCTGCCTGAACTCTGAAGAGATACCATCCTGTGGTCCTGCACGCCCCTTCCCTGAAACTATTCCCAGTCAATGAATGTTCTTAGCTAACCAGCATGCGTGTCTTCTATGCTCATGGCGTCGTTAGGAATC